CGGTGCCGGAGAAGACAGGATCATCCCATTGGCTACAAATCTGAAACCGACGCTTAGCGCCCAGGCGCAATGTTTTGACGTAGAAAAAGTCTCACATTGGAAAAATCGATGACAGGGTCGCCACCTGTACCCTGAAAAATGTACAGGAACGCCAATGGGATGGTGTCGATAGTGTCGTCCTGGCAGCAATGCATTTGGCACAGGCCGTGGGGCGAGCGAGGAGGTGAATCTCGATCTCGTGTACCCCGATGAGTACGACATGAACACCGAGGTGCAGATTAGCGCACTCGACACGAACGGACGGCAGAAGCGCAAGTCGAGTGTCATGGATGCCATCGACGACCGCCCGAGCAAGGCACGAACGCTCGGCGGAGACCGCCCCAGGGATATTGTGGCCGTCAAAGAACTTGCGCCTGCGAGTAGCACCATCGTCGTGTACGATGCGAGCAGTGCGACAGACGCACAGAATGTGGCCGCGAGGCTACCTATAACGCCATTGTTGACGTATTTGAAAGCTCAGGCCGAGGGAAGCGAAGACCTGCTTGAGGCACGGAACTCGGAGGATGGATGTAAACTATTCACGTTCATCTTTGATTTCCCATGGTGCTGACGATCGTGGCTATAGCTCCTCACGAAGTCATATTTGTTAGTGGCAAGCAGACTCAATGGCTGGACTATTTAGCATCTCCAGTTCTGGCACTGGCCGTGTCCAGCGCGTTCTGTGCCGTAGCCATGCAAGACGGTTCACTGAATGTTTACTCTCCAACGGGCAGACGGTACGACGCGGGGCTCTTTCGATTCGCACCAGAACTAACATCATCGTCATGGCAGACTGATGCCAACAATGAGCCTGGGAGCATCGTGCTGTCTGCTTAGTGCCAGCAAGAATTGTCTCCTTGCGCTGAGCTCAAGTGGACAAGTTCATGTATGGTGTGTATTTTTGCTCCCGTTCAGAAGTCGTGTTTTCATGTTTTGCTGCAGGAATATCAAACAGCAGCGAGCACTTTTCCCTCCGACATCTGTGCTCCCCATCATCGGCTCGTCGCCAAACTGCACCGTCGTCTCTGCCACCGTCCGCTCGAACGGCGCTCCCCTCATTTGCCTCTCAACGGGCATCTCCCACAGCTACGACGCGGCGCTCTACTCGTGGGTCAAACTCAGCGACAGCTGGTTCGCCGAGGGTTCGGACGCATGGCCGGCGCGCACCCGTGCGAACACGCAGCTCGCTACGCGGGGCATTGTTAGCACAATCGAGAGCAGTGTTACCGAGCACATGCCAGCGGTTGCGAGCGACGCGAGCAGGCCGGCGTGGTGGGGCACGGCACTCACGCTCGGGCACTTTGAGACGCGGATGCACGCAGCGAAAACGCTGGACAGCCCACAGGAGTATAAGCATGCGCTGGTACTGTACGCGAAGAAGATTGCGGACGAGGGCTTCAGAGCGAAGGCAGAGGAGCTGGTGAAAGAGTTGTTCGGACCTATGTATTGGTGCGTGCTGGTGGCTGACGTTGTGCGAAATCCTTGGCTAATTTCCTGGCTGGCTGTTCAGGCGGCCAGGAAGGGAAGAGCTGTGGTCATCGACACTGCTCGGCTTCTCAAAACGCGATTTGCTCAAGGACGTTTTGAATATCTTTGGTACGTCGTCCAGCTTTGACCGGACATTTTGAAAAACTAACCATCGACTGCTATGGCTTAGCCAAGAGTAAGACGTTGACCAAGCTGGCGCTCGATTGGCAAGATACGCTGAAGAAAGCTTTGAACGAAGAATAGCCGTAGACGACTTCTCATACTATACAGCATGATCTACATGGCTAGCTGGCCTACTGCCACTTGACCTTCATGATTACCCGCTTCACACCATCTTCCTTCTTCCATATTGTCTCCACGCTGCCCTTGTCCCTTCCGCAGGTGGTTGGCTCGCCATTCTCCACCGCGCGAGTGAACTCTGCAACACCACCCCCCACGCCAAAATAGACGAGTTTTGCAGCAACGAGGCAGATAGGTAGATCGTCTCGTACGTTGCGTAAGTTGACCTTGTTGAACTGTGCATCTGGACCCTTTGCATTATCGGTATCCCGGGGTTGCAATAACAGCTGCGACGCGGACCCTTCGAGGTCCTGCATCGTCTTTTCGCTGGAGCCATTTGCTGTGCATGCCTTCCACATGAGGTCCGTCAACGCAGCGAGGCTGTCCGTGCGGTAGATCGTCTCGGAGGTGAGCAGGACATCGTAGCGCCGTCTCGTGAGCTCCACGTCGAATGTCTCCCACGAGCCCGAAAAGAAGCGAAGAGTGATCCCGAACTCTCTCAATGACACTTTGAAAGCGTCGATGAGTGCTGGTACGAGAGCAAGGTCCCCTGGGTTGGATGGGTCTGTCGTAGGCAAGGGCTCAGGCTCGGTGTCTTGTTCTGTCGTGACCGACTCGAACGCTGATATGAAAGCGGCTGAAACAGGAGACATATCTAGCCACAATAGCAGCTAAGTACGCGAGACAGATGGGGCTAAATAAGACCTACACCATGCCAGGATGATGTTAGGTAGGGTGACTAGCCGGAAAACTAGCTCGTTGTAGTCTTGAAGGTGGATCTCTATACGTCTGCCCGGCCTTGATGGCTGCGAAAAGATCTCTCGCAGCAACATTAGTGACGGGATGGCTGTTCCGCAACCTAGCTTGATTCTTCTCGTGAGCAAAGGATGCACTGAGAGGAAAGGACCACGAGTTACTTCTAAAGCCCTCAAGCTGTCCGCTTGACGAGAGAGTTCCCCGAGTATATCCTTAACACAGCCAGCCAGGTCGGCACTACATTCCCATGTCTTAAGGCCTCCTTCGTATACGCCGGGTACGAGATCAGATGGCGCATCGACATACTGGAGATTCTTGTCTGCATCTGCGTCTCTAGAGGAAGCCGTGTTCTCTGGCTCTGTTTCCGATGCTATCAACTGGAAGCGAGCATCGAACAGGTCTCGCTTGGCCAGATAGACAGACTGAGACCTTCCTAGTCCTATAACAGGCCAATTTATGTGAATTGGCGAGTAGCTGATCACTTCTGGCAACTCCGCGAGCTGTGCCGTGGGTAAAGCATGAGAACGGCATGTATCAGTACGTCGAGATGATAGGTTCACCATGGCGTTCAATTCAAGTTCCGCAAAGTTTCCCCTATCCCCGTGAGCTGCTTGCGATGTTGTGGAATCATTCACTTTGCGGGTACCCTCGGGTATCTGGGATACGAAACTCTCGTCCACTTCGTCATCATTAAGATCGAAGTTGAACTTGAACATGTCGACCGCGAGTGCAGCCACAGCTAAACTGTACTAGGCAATAGTCAGTTTCTTGTACGGAATCTCAAGATTCGCGCTCATCTTTGTCTCCACGAATCAATGCGAGAGCTGTGCGAATTTTTTAAGAAAAAAAAAACGCGGGGTTGATGGCGATGACGCCACAAAGGTTGGCGTCTATCGCTCCAGGGGGGACCCCGGACTAACCCCGAACCAAAGCAATCATGATCTGCCCGCGTCAACCATCGTCGAGTTCAGTACAGATTGATGGGTGACATATTGTCGAGAGGAACCGACTTCTGCTAAGACCGGAATAGTGACAACAAAGGTCTCAACGTGTCAAATAACATACGACTCTCAAGTACTAATTTCGATTTACAGAAACGTCAGTATCAGTTTGCGGGCCCTGGTTCAAGGAACAATGCATGGACATCAGGATCTTCACAATACCTGGCCAAAGAATCAGCTCGCCAACTATCCCAACTATCCATGACCATGTTGGACTCCCCAAGGAGCAGGCGAAGGAGTGTCATAAAGACGTTGGGAAACTCGGGGTCGTCAAGAGCGCCGTTGACGCAATGCATGATCCTGTGTTGGACTCTGCCAAAACTCACCAGCGCAGCGAGCTCGAGATATTGTTTTTGCTGTAATGTCTCGATGAATAGCTCTTCTGTGTCGCTAAGGCTATTATTCCCACTATAGTACTCGCTGACGTCGAGCATAAACAGCGGGGACGCGAAAGCTTCTGACTTGGGGACGGTCTGCGCGCACTCCCAGTCGATGATTCCGACAATGTTGAATTCTGTGTCAACGAGAATGTGATCGCCCTTATCGTCCATGTGCTTCAGATAGAAGCCTGGGCCGCAGTTAGTGTCGGCGCCGACGAGCGAAGACAAGTTGTCGAGGAGGGCGCGGTGAACGAGGTAAGCATCCAACGGCCTGTCGATGTATATCTCCTCTTGACGGATGAGCTCGAGGACAAGTTCGAGGACGTGAAGTCGATAGAATCTGGCGCTTGAGAAGGGTCCAGCGAAGATTACTTGGTTTCCGGCTGTGCGAATAGTGGTCTCCGTAACGATTGGGCCAACTGACACATTGCCCGATGCGGACGACAATAGACAGCCGATGGTGGGGAAGGGATGAGCAGACAACTCAGCAAATATGTCCGCGAATTGGCTCATGAAGCGACGTTTCTGTTCAGGTGTAGCTTCATGCAGATCCAACGGACGGCCTTGAAGCTTGTTCATGAGGATATAGCCCATACCAACCGGGTTGCCATCGCCAAATGTAGCATATCCGTGTACTTTCGGGGCAGGCACTTCGGTAGAAGTTAAAAATCTGAGAGTCGCTACTTCGCTCAGAAGGATAGCATTTTGGACTTCCTGCGGAGGTGAGGACGCGTTGTTTCGACGGATTCGGCAGATCCACTCGATTCCGTCGAGGAAGCGGATTATGATATGGTAGTTCATGCCGCCCATGACCTTATGAATCGTTTCGGGGTCGTATTTGAGAGGTGTCACGCTGCAGCTGACGCCGCCTCTGAGGAGCGACGCCTGACGCTCCAGAGCCTGGATATCGATAGCCGCAGCGAGCGCGCTGATCTCGTCGCGTGTGGCGTGTTCACTCGCTACCTCCCATGCATCTATTTCATTATTGTTCTGGTGATAATTACCATGGAACGTTAGTTCAATTTAACGATTGATTGGGAAGAGCCTAACCTGCCAGTCTGGACAACGATGGACCTGGGGTTTGAGATGCTCGCTGCATAGGCGACGTCGGCATAGCAAGCAAGCTTTGCCTCTGACTGCGCTTCCAACGCAGCCGATCTCTTCACAAACGAGTAGCGGCATTTCGGAAGTGTGGGTGTGTATAAGAAGAATGTGTATAGTATTTAGCGACAGGTGATACGTAGAATCAGAGAATCAGAGATGTACAATAGGATGGTAACGGCGTCCATACGCATATTTTAGGGACCGCCGAAGGTCGGGTGCAATCACCAGTCGGGCAACTAAATGTAAGTCCGCCGGGTCTTGAATGATGAGCGACCGCGTGGACTGTTTCGCAATAGGGAAGGCGAACCCACGAGATGAGCTCAGTCCAGGGACTCGGAGTTGCGCGTTACGGCGTGTCTCAGCGGGAGAATATTTCACCAGAAGCCGTCGCTCTTCGGGTATTACTCTGCTCCACCTCTGTTACCTTCTCGTGTCGGATATTTACAAACTGCCTCCTTGTTCCAGGTACCAGGGCCTAGTAACAAATGGAAGGGCACCCGACAGGCTGAGGGGCTCTATTTCGCGTTTACCAGTGTGGCTGCCAGCCAATCACCAAGGTGTCAGCAACTAACAATCCAACTGGACCGAGCTACAACACGCTGAGGAGACAGATGAGAGGAATGTGAGTGAGTAAAGACCAGCTCGAGTCTGGCTTGTTATTGAGCAGTACGAGCTCCTTATATACATGCCAGACTGAATATCTAGAATATCCTACGAATATACGGAGGCATATAGAAAGTGAAAGAATACTATGGAATCTGGGAGAACCATCCAGAATGTGTAATATTCATGACATTACCCCTCCGTCTAGAATCGTGTCCTCACGATTATTTACCAGTGGATCCAAAACCTCCTATACCACGCTGAGTTTCTGTTAAACTTGACACCTCCTCGATATTGCATGACGCAATACGTTCCAAAATGACTTGAGCGATCCGATCACCGGCGCGTACTTGAAATGGTTGATCGGTGGTATTGATCATTACCAAGCGTACTTCTCCGGTATAATCTCGATCTACGACCCCGGCGCCAATATCAATCCCTTTGACTGCTAACCTGCTTCGTGGTGCAATTCGTGCATAGGTTCTGTGAGGGGCACGCATCGCTATGCCGGTACCGATAATTTTACGGCCTCGTGCCGGTATCTTAGCGCTTTCAGCCGAGTAAAGATCGAGTCCAGCGGCTTCTTCCGACCCTTGCTTCAGGAGAATTCCACCCATCCGTTGTACCAGAAGAGTGGTATCTCTCTTGAGCATGTGTACGGATCGTGTCAATAAGGGGGGAATTCTAATCATCATCGGCGCGGGTTTATCGGGACGTCTCGCATGGAACTCCTGAAGGAGTTCCTGACAATTGGTCAGGTTCGCCCTTGATTCCCAAGAACAGCGATCGCTGTGGGGGCTGTTCTTCCAGAGAACTTGATACTCAAGGTTTCCGTTTTGATCACAACGTGAGTTAAGAATTTCTTCGACTTCCCATTCTTCCTCGCCATTTATGAGGTCAGGAACTGCCGGTTCGCATTGTTAAGAGGGATATGTGGGTTCTCTGAATGGACTTAGAAGACTTTCATTGAAGACGGGGTGCTATTTCCATTGACGGGGAAGCTCTAACTCATAGGCCGAAACGCCAACTTTGCGTATGACTTTGAACGGCCCGTATCGTTTATCATCGAGCTTCTTCATTGGTCTATCAGTTCAAATATTGACTCCTTCCAGCCAAACTCTATTCCCAACCTTGTACTCCGGTCCGTTCTTCCTTTTTCTATCATAGAAACGCTTCATAGACTCCTGCGCTAATCCGATGGCTGCACTGGTATCCTCACATACTTGACTCATTCGATCGACGAATTGTTGTACGTTCTCACTTAGTCCTTCTCGCATCGGTTGGGTTCCTTCATTAGGGTGATACCCTTTGTTGACAAAGAAAGGAGTATATCCGGTCGAGGAATGGACTTTGTTATTGTATGAGAATGCTGCAAGTGGCAGCCATTCAGCCCAATCCGCTTGTTGGTAATTGATGAATAATTGGAGATATTGTTCTATCTCTCGATTGATGCGTTCTGTTTGCCCATCTGTCTGAGGGTGATAGGCAGTTGAGGGATTGGCTTCGATTCCGAGCAATCGGTATAGTTCAGAAATGAATTTATTTTTAAACTCGGTGCCTCTGTTGCTGATAATCTTTCGGGGTAATCCGTGATGTGCAACCACATGATCGCGAAGCGCTTTCCCCCATCCTTTGGCATTCAGTTCGATGTTACTCAGAATCACAATTATCTGTTTCAAGTACATGCAGACAACAATGAGGATGGCGTTGTATCCGAAGGATTCTGGTAATACTCCTATTTTATCCACGGAGATTACTTCCCATGGTCGTGTAGGAATTTCGTTGGGGAAGAGCAATCCCGTGGGTCGTGTTGTGTGAACCTTGGTCTTCTGACACTTTTTGCACCCGGCCACATACTTCCAGATGTCTTCTCAAATTCTGGGCCACCAGTATTTACGTGTGACCATCTCGTGTGTTTTGTATTGGCCAGGATGTCTGGCCAACAGGGTATCATGGTGGTGAACAATGATCTGTTCACGGAGTTTCCTATTTACTAGTACGTAGATACAATTTTTCCATGTCACGAGTCCAGTACTATCTTCGTTCCAGTCCTTGTCCTTGTTCTGTAATGCTATAGTGACTAACGAATCTCGGTTCTTTTTGTATTTTTTAATTTCTGCGATTCAGTCTTGGTCGATTCCTTCTAAACTAAATACTGTGCTATGAATCAGGGCACGGAAATGTTCTGGTTTTAATAGTACAATATCTGAATTGTCCTCTTTCCCTGCATTGTGTCGCTTTTGACGGGATAATCCGTCTGCCTTGCCATTAGACTTTCCAGGCTTATGATGTAGCAAGTAGTGATATTCAGCAAGTTCGGTTACCTATTGGGCTTGTTGCTGATTAAGCTTCTGTGGCTTCCAGAAGTATTCTAGGTTCTTGTGATCTGTCCATATTTCAAACGGATGCCAGGCGCCCATGAGATACTGGTGCCACTTGTCAAGGCTAGTCATGATTGCAAGAAGTTCCTTATCGTAAATCTCGTAGTTCCTTTCGGCTGCTGTCATGGCTTTGGATAGGTAAGCAACAGGCTTCCATTTTCCATCTTGCTTCTGGGCTAATTCTGCTTCTACGGCAAAGTCTGAAGCATCACATTCTACGCGGTAGAGGTCACCATCATTGGGTATAGCCAGTACTGGTGCGGAACAGAGTGCATCTTTTAGGCTCGTAAATGCTACTTCTTGTTCGACGGTCCATTTGAAAGTAGCGTTGCCTGTCAATAGACTAAGCGGCTTTGCTATTTTGCTGTAATCTCGGATAAATCTTCAGTAGAAGTTGGTGAAGCCGAGAAATGCTTGAATGTCTCGTTTGCACTCGGGCCAAGGCCAATTGACAACTCCTTCTATTTTGACCAGGTCCATGCGAACAACGCCCTTTCTTACTATCATCCCCAGGTATTCGACTTCCGTCTTCTCGAACTCACACTTCTTTGGTTTTAGGTAGAGTTTGTGTTCCCTCAGGATCTGTAAGACTTGCCGCGTGATCTGACGGTGTTCTTTTAGATCTTGAGTGAAGGTCATGATATTGTCCAGGTAGACTACTACGTGTCCTTGACTAATGAGATCTCGGAATATGTCGTTTATCATGGTTTGGAACGTAGCTGGGGAGTTCGTGAGACCAAAGAACATAACTAGCGGTTCGAATAGTCCTCGATTTGTAAGAAAGGCGGCTTTTTCTTCATCGCCTTCTTTGGTGCGGATGTTATTATACTCCCATCGGACATCCAACTTGGTGAAGTATCGTGCTTGTTTTAGTTTATTGACTAGTTCCTGTATCAGGGGAAGTGGATACCGGTTCTTGATTGTCAGCTCATTTAGCTTTCAATAATCTTGTACAAGCTGGAGATGTCCATCCTTCTTTTTGACGAAGAAGAAAGGTGAAGCCCAAGGGGATTTAGAAGGCCAAATTTGTCCAGTTCTTAGGTTCTCTTCTATGAATTTGTCAAGTTCCTTCTGTTCGCTAACCGATATGGGATAAACTTTGCAGCTGATTGGTTGCCAACCTGGCGTTAGTTCAATAGCGTGGCCTCATGGTCTCCTTTGTGGCAGAGAATCAAAATCTTCTTTGCTGAACACATCTGAGTAGTCGTGATAATGACTTGGGACTGTATTCTCAAATGTTTTAGCCTCGTGTTTCAGACTTTCTTTTATTGCTAGGTCTGTGGCCGTGGTGCGTATACGCGCCGCTCCCATAGTGAAGTATGTCTCATAGTCTAAAACGAAGATTCTATCTCTCTCTTCAAGGCGAGCCTCTGGATCGCTGGGTTCTTCCTCATCCTTGTCAATATCCATCATTCTTGCAGTGTATCGGCAGGCAATCGGGCAATGATCAAACTTAATAACTTGTTCCTGCCAATCAATAGAAGGATTATGGATCTGAAGCCATTCATATCTGAGGAATATGGGTGTCTTTCCCAGGTTGATAACGGCAAATGGAAGTCGTTCCACATGATCCTGAATTTCAACCCTTAATTCCATGAAATCCGTGATTGCGCCACCGGCATTGTGCGTTCCATCAGCATTATAGACTGGGATCGGTGATGGCAGTTTCTTTGTAGCGATGTTGTTATCGCGGACAAACTGCGCATCAATGGATGAGCCTGTACATCCTGTGTCAAGTAACACTTTGACAGACAAGCGTTGCTGATTGTCCAACGTTGTAACAATCATGGGGACGTCCATCTGTGTCCCTTTTCTTCCTTGAATGTAGCGAGGTTGTTTCCGTAGTTTGTTCAGGAAGTCAATCGCTTCCTCTTCTTTCATCTGCCTGATTTGATTCATGCAGGCTTCTGAGGCATCAACACTCTTCTTTGAGTGTACCCATTCAGTCAGCAATCTAAGCGCTGCTTTGTCTTGGCTGATTATCCATTGGCGGATCCATGCCGCTGTCCATGGAGTGTGGCGCTGCCACTGCATAGGTTTGGTCTGATTCAAGGTAGGAGATAATTTTTTATTCGGGGGAATTAAGCAAGAGGGTTGAGCCTCTCCGTGCTGTTCTACAAACGCCCCTTTCTCTTGTATATACATGGAAACTCCAAACCAGGAACACAGATAGTTCATGAAATTCTTTTCGGTCAACTCAGCTATGCACCCGGCTGACCGCTTGTAAAACCCTTCATGGCCGCGCAAATTTCTTCGCAAATTGCCATTTTCCAATCGAACGGCTCTGCCGTCGCGGCAGGTGCTTTGGCGAGGGGCACGAGTGGAGTGAAACTATTGGAGACGGGGATCTCCAGTGTCTCTGCTGCCCTTACTTGTTGGGCCTGTTGCCTATTGGGGCAATTTTGTGAGAGATGGCCCTTCTGGCCACACCGGAAACAGAGACCGAGGCGTCGTGCCTGATCTAGCTCCATTGGCTGTCCCCTTCCTCCGAAGGTCACACCAGTCCTGTCGTGCCGTGTCTGAACTGGCGCATTCGTGACTACTGGCGCGGTTACGTTGGTTTGCGCTTGTGGTGTGTTCTGCGCCTGTTGTTGCCGAGGCTGGAATTGCCCTTGTTGTTGGGGCTGTGGGTTCCGCCTGTGGTATTGCTGTTGATTCAGATCAATGCGCGCGACCCGTTGCTTGTAGAGAGCGTAAGTGGTTGGGAGTTCTTCCGACAAATTGTACATAAGCCGAATGATGTCGGCCCGCAGCGCTTTTTCTGAAAGCGACTTAAGTTCTTGGAAGTGCGCCTCAAAATCGTGGATTTCTGCTTGGAAGGCGCATAGCTCGAATTTGGAAAAGAACTCTTGGGCGGTTAGTGTGCCCATCTGCATTGCTTGTAGTCACTCGTACGCTTCGGCCTGTTCATCGATTAGGAAATGTCTATCTAGATTGGCCCAGAGTTCATTGGTCGTCTGGATCACAGTGCTTTCATCCGTGTCGTATTTCTTCATGTACGTGGCAACATATTCGCCAGCGTGCCCTCCTTTCATGTAGGACAGAATCATAAGGACTCTGTCAAACTGCTCTGGTAGCCACTTCCTCTGCGTAACTACATATAGCTTCATCTGTGTTTTCCAAGTGATGTACTTGGATTTCGTGCCGTCGAAGGCATCTGGTTTCATCGCACTTCCATTGAGGAACGCGGCGCTATCTTAGTTCTTGGCCATCGCACCGGGATCCGATGGAGATGAGGGTGAAGTGGGAGATCGTCGGTGGAATGGACTTGGTGGTTCAGAGTCTTCCACAGCTTCTTCTACAGGGTCTGAGGGATCTTCTGGCGGTACTGCGAATTCTCCGAGTGCGATTGATCGGAGATGTTCGGTGACTGAATCAAGTGTGTCGCGTCTTTCTCTGGGTTCTGAACCAGACACTATTGGTTGAGGGACGGTGAGGGATTTGTTGGGTTCTCCAGTGGTAATTCTTTCTATTAATTCTCCGAGTAATCCTTCGTCACACTGAGGACAGCGATTAGTGTTTCTTGGAGAATGCAGACACGGTTGTTGTGCACAATAGCGTACTGTTCTGCTATTGTTATAGATGAGCCGTCCGTCGAGTTCTCGGTGGTTGTATCCTCTGCAGCCACAAGAGGGTCTAGCGGTCATGTGCTACCGAGTCCGTGAAGCTGATTGCAGCAAACCCTGGGACCAATCGTGTTGTAACAACCAGATCAGGGGTAGAGGTTGCCAAAGATGGGAATTTTCCGAAAATGAACCGAAATGCTAATGGTAATACAGTTCTAGGAATAGTATAGCAGCCCAAAGAGTGATTATGTCTCTTTGGTCCGACGCCCTGACAGGGATCGCCGATCTAACTGCTATCGCTTTTCCGATGCCTGGCCGCAACCAGTTGCCACGTCGTACTCAGGAATATCCGTTTGCCTGCTGCAAAGCATGTAACGCCACCTATGGTAGGGCAGGGTACGATTCTAATAGGACAGAGCTCTGTCTAGCCACCTAAGGGCTAGTGATTACAGAGGTGACTTCGGGGATGCGGTATGGTAAAAGTTGTGCAAGTGCACGGAAAAGGGTTCCAGGGGTCCGGGTCTTGATGCGGTAGAATTCGGTAGGGTTAGGATTTAGGGTGAGAGTTAGATGTGCATATAGGGTGGATCGTCGTGTGGAGATGGGTGATGGCTGGTGTGAGAGTGACGAAGATCGTCGTAGGGCAGTTGGTGGAGACTCGAGCTAATGTCAGCAACTAACAATCCAACTGGACTGAGCTACGACACGCTGAGGAGACAGATGAGAGGAATGTGAGTGAGTAAAGACCAGCTCAAGTCTGGCTTGTTATTGAGCAGTACGAGCTCCTTATATACATGCCAGACTGAATATCTAGAATATCCTACGAATATACGGAGGCATATAGAAAGTGAAAGAATACTATGGAATCTGGGAGAACCATCCGGAATGTGTAATATTCATGACACAAGGGTCCATCATCGTCGTGTAGCGTAGCGCAAGACTAAGCTGCGTGGTCCCAGATAGCAGCCGTTCATTCTCAACCTCTCGATGGCACCCGCTATGTGCAAGTTGCCCTGTAAATTCTGCGCCACAATTTAATCATTGTTGTGACCATAACCGCACAAATCAGATTATATACATCTTGGCATTCCGATAATGCGCGCATGCGTCTCACAGCTATACAAACGACGATCCATGTGTCTCAGGAACGTAGATATATACTGTGTTAGGTAGAGTATACTCCAATGCATCACTGTCTAGCCAGTAAACACCTAAAGTAGATGATGATGAAGATATGCACTGGCGCAGTGCTGCACCTGATGTAGCCGCAAAAGCGAGTGTACTAGTTCCAGTGTATGGACAGCCTCGGTGAAAGCACAAGCCTGCGCAGAATGGGCGCATGACTGACAGCTTCCCGCAAAGTGTTTGTCAGAACATACACCTGCTGGAGACGGGTATAAAGGACCAGCCTGTTTGCAACTCTCAGGATATCGCCAAACGTCGCTTTCCAACCCTCAGCCGCTCTCTTTCTGTGCATCTTCCAAGCCAAGCAACTCAACGTTATCCCACTCCATACGAATATGGCCGCTACCAGATGTCGTACCTTTGGCTGCATCAAGTGGGCTGTCACAGGGAAGAACCATTGCGTTGACCGTTTGTACCATCGCTTCGGCTTGTATTCTCATCTTTGATACATTGAGACTGCCTTTCGCAGATGGAGGAAGATCTAACAAGTTCATCTTCGGCTGGTTCAGAATATGAAGTCAACGCCACAACAGTGAGCATGTAATGCATTCGAACTTCTCCGGCGGTGCAGCTCACAAATGGTCGCCCACTAGCACACCTCTCGGTCGTGATGTTCGGCATAATCTATCCTTATCGTCAATGTATTATTAGCTGTTCCACCTGTGCCTATTAAATCATTCCATTAGCTAGCTTCTCGATTTGATACGTTATCGCGCCACCAAACGCTCAACATGATGAGCATTCATCGCAATCATTCTGCCAGCCTGACATCATCAGCAGAGCCTGAAGAGCCATGCATTTAGTCCTCCCCACTGGCCTTTAATGTATCTCTAGCTTAATCTTGCCCAACTGCACCTTGTCCTATTGAGCTTGCAGCAGATAAATTTGATCTCAAAATAACTGGTGACGAGGGTTTGAGCTACGTTGTGCGGGTTGTTCTTAGGCTGCCAGTCCCAGAATGGCACGTGCACCTTGACCACTAGTAAGCGCGTGCCAATGCTCATGACTTCAACAAATTCGGGCCAGACCATGGCAACTGTCTACTGTGATATATGTATAGACATGCTACGCAATGAGAAGAGCTGCAAAATGGCCAACGCTGCCCCTGAGCCTGGATGTCGATGGATGCAACAGCTAGAGCACCCATCGCCTCCCCGTACTCACTCGCGAGCTCCGAGGCACCCAATTCCGAGTCACCGTCGTTCTGGGATGTTGGAAAGTGAAGTCGACGAACAATAGTACAGACTCCGCACAGCCTCGAGACTGAAGTGTTCATGGCTGTAAGGTTCTGTATGCCAGTGAGCGATAGTTGACGGCGCAGTAATACGAGCAAATAATGCGTCTAATGTACGGACCTTTCACAAGTAACCAATACATGTTGAAAAGCAAACGAGTAAGAGATATCAACGAAGTGTTCAAGACCCGGGGTTTACGTCGGGAGTTGGAACTGGAAGTGAACCTCGGAGGATGCGTGTCCGCCACTAGATGCATGATGAAGAGCAAAAGAGGGGTTAAACTGGTTCCAGCCGGTATCGAACCTATGACCGTCTGTGTACGCCATACAATAAGCAATGTAAGACAGACACTACACCATCGAACTATCTTGGGTAATGCTCTCTAGGACATATGAGATCTGCTGTAAACCCAGGTCGAAATCGACAAGCCACTAGAAGGCCTTGGCTCTTCGAAAAAGTATCGAGAAAATTTTTGTTGTATCGAGCCTGTACAGCACTAGTCAAATCATGAACATAGAGATGCTGAACATCAATGAATCTCATTAAGATATTACCGCTTATCATGTTCCGGAAAGTGCCGAAGCACGCCAGTACTTAATTACTTGCACCTGTCTTCGCCTCTGGATCTGACTTCGAACTGCTTTTCTTGAGCTCATCGAAGGCCACAATGATTGGATATCTGAGCTCTATTTCGGGGCTGAACGTTCTAGATATCCTTTTGCATGCCTCGCCTACTGGAGAAAGTTGTACGAGCTGGCGCCCAGCCTTCTTTCATGAGCTCGTGATGGACCAGATTGGCTCAAGGGCATCTTATCCCGCAACCCCTTCATCGCCTCATTGGGCCGCGGCTGGACAGCGGAGAGGGTTTCTAAGACGATAGGGGTTCGTTGGCCGCGAGGAAGGTGAGTGAAGACCGCTTTTACATCCAGTGATGCATACCCACGAGTATGGCGGTGCTGAACAGACTGCGCGGAGCACCCTGGCCTTGAGCTTGAGCGCAAGTTCTGCCTTGCAGACCACTGTCCAGCAAACTCTTTGTGGCGTCCATCCCGCCTGTAACGAAACTTCCAAGACATTTGTTAAGTTTGAAGCCGAGCGATCGCAGATTGCCTTGCCGTTCCCACTCCAAATATTTAGCCGCAGTGACGCATCTCTCCAGCACTGTTACATGTTCCCCGCAGTGCCCTCGGCGATGTCGGCCCCCGCTCGGCGGGCGATCCCCACTTTCGCGCCCCCGCCCCCTGACTCCTCGTCTTCGACCACACCGCTCCCAATTTCTTTGCCCGGGTCAATCCTTTCCATCTCCCCCACGTCAAGCGACACCTCGTCGCCCACTCCCACGGACACCCAGCAGACATCTCCACCGACAACTCCCACGAGCTCTGCTGCATCTGCGAGCTCTGACACGGCGACAGCCGGTACAGGTACAGCCGACAGCACTAGCGCATCCACCACTTCAAGCTCTTCCAGCATGAGTTCGCAGTCATCGTCCGCAGTTCTCTTGCCCTCATCTTTGTCGCCTTCGCCTTCTCCCACCTCTAGCATCTCTCCGGTTGCAGCGACGTCACATAGCAACCACGCGGGCGCTATCGCTGGAGGCGTCATCGGTGGTGTTGCTTTCGTCGTTCTTTTGATTGGTGCGGTGCTGTTCGCGTTGCGCCGACACAACAAAAGGCAAACTCAGCAAGATATTCTTCCTTGGAGCAGCGGTGGTTTAGGCAGGCGTAGGGGAAATGTCAGGATCTCGAGCTCGTCTGGGCTTACAGGTGCAGATCTGGGTGTAGGGAACAGCAACAGTGGGTACGGGTTTGCAAAGCGCATGAGCGAGTTGGGATATCCTGTAACGGGAGATGACTACATCAACAAGAACATTGGCGGAGCGGAGCCCCATCGGCATGCGTCGACCGCGTCGAGTGCAGGGATGCTCCCCCACACCCATCCTGCCTCTGTGTCCTCGCACACGCATGTCAACGTTCACTCTTCCGAAAATGTCGCAGGCTACTCTGATGACGAGGAAAAGAATTCAACATTACACCATTACGATTCGTCCTCGTACTCCCATGGCAATAAATCCGTTGACCTCACCGATCTCGCGATACCACACTTGCCAATGGAACCTCCTTCTGCGTTTTCTCATCAGGAACGTAACCGTAGCCGTTCGGTGACTGGTCAGAACCGTGCACTCGCTCTAGCCAAGCTCGATCCATTTGTGTCCATCGTCCCCGCATACTCGAACATCAACCCGACCGGGGGTGCCTCGATCTCTCGTTCGCCGTCTGCTGCAACATACTCCAGCCAGAAAGACCCTTTTGCGTCGCCGACGGATAAATCACTCCACCGATTGTCATCCAGTGGCGGCGTCTCTCGCCGACCTACTATCACGCGGAAGGCCGTCCCCAAGTACGACGAGTCCGAGTTCTCTATGGCCGACATGTCTTCCCCCATCTCTCGCCCTACGTCTCCGATCTACACGACATCGCCGCCGCCGATTCACCGGCAGCCTTCCCCGGCTTCCCCAAGTGGCGCTCACGTGGTTGCTGCTCATGCTGTCTCGCCCTATGCGCTCTCGAGGGAGAGCAGCAACGACTCCATGCGCGATCGCAGTCGAGCCGGCCTCGCGTCGCTACCGGCGCTGAACCACAAAACGAGCTTCGGCGATATAAAGCCGGTGCACTACTTGATCCCGGATATGCCTCCTCCTCCGCAGGACTAGGGTGCCTTCATGCTCAATGTGAACGGTCTTCATATATAACGCATGGATAATACTAAGATATTTGTTTTATAGGCTTTTTTTGTTTTATCTGTCCCGAACAGGGCTTTCTGCGTTTCTCCTTGCTTGGATGCTATGCCTCTCCGATCTCCTCTATAACGCATATTTGGATAATGCTCTTACTTTCTTGACTTATTCATGACTGGGACCTGGACCCCTTCCTTTCCTCATTTAGTTCGACTAACTGTTGAGACCCTTACGCTTACGACCCTTGCCTTCTGCAATCAATCTAGGAATGATTACGATAGCGAGTAGGTGTAGTACCTTTAGTGTTTGTTTGACATTACCGCTGTGGACTCTTGTTTGTAGCGTAGATGTACGCGTGTAGCTCGGCTCATGATTCTGTCTCTTCTCGTACTTGGCCATCGTCGTGGAGCCTGATGCGAATACATACGCGTAGCCGAGTAGAATCTCTCTCTACGGACGGACATTCAAGAGGCTGTAGGCAACGCTATGTTACTCTCGACGCTCGAGATTTTCATGCAGTACTTGAATTTCAAATTTTCTATTACTATTTAAGACGAGCGGGGGAAAGCGACTCCGGGCGATGCCGGACGCCACCAAGCCGACATCTCGAAAATGGTATGCGCAACTATCAGACTAGTCATGTGTCTCGTGACTATTCTTTACACAGGTGGATAGATAAATATCTTCAATAAAAATTAACGCAGTCCAGGACGATACTGCTCCTCTCAGAAATGAGTGTCTGGCTGTGCTTCAGATCTGAGCAAGGGCGCTTACCGGAGATATCCGTGCGCATGCCGTCTCGGGACAAGAGAACAACACTCACCACTCGTTCACAACATCTACGCTGCTTGCTCATTTCAGCCCTGCACAGTTTCTGTTTTATTTAGGATATTTGCGTAAGTGTGAGATGGATTAGCTTAACATTTATGGTAATGGCGTCCTGTTGTAAAGTAATGCCACAGTAACAGGCCACGATCCGTCCTACTGAGAGTCAATTTTGAGGTGATAGCACTTCCTTTGTCTACTGTGTTTCGTATCATCAACTTTACCTCGAGGCTAGTGGCCAATTCTTTGCGGCTATAAAGCTAGGATCCTTATTGTTTGGACGTAAGCATCTCCCACTCTCTACCCACTACAATGTCTGATGTTTCACCGCCGTCCCCTTGTACTCCAAAGATTACCCCGCTCGCTCACTCTCATGTCCGGCTTTACAAGATTGTGCTACCTGGCTCGCCCGCGTTATTCAAATTGTCTACTGTCTCGGCAGCTGTAGGCTCGAAGAATCTGGCATTCAAAAGGGCGGACTACGCACGGCAAGCTTCTACGGAGATGGATGTCAGAATTGCGCAGGTCGAGCTTTCCGTTATGCAAAACTATATTGGTGGTAAAAACATGACCGATGCTGAGGTCAAGGACGTGAAGGGTTTTCGGAAGCTCGCTATTGTTACCACCTCGAAGAACGTCCGCAAGCTTGAGAAAACGTATTATAATGCCATAGCAAGTTTATCTTTTCATTTTCTACATCCTCTTGCTTATCTCTCAACTAGTGCCATGCCAGTAACTCTGTTGCAGCTGTGGTGGCAAGGGCAAGCAAGAAACCCAAACTGATCGTTAAGATCGCTGCCTAGTCGGTCGGTTGACCCAATCCAAAGACGCCCCTCCGAAGTCATGCGTGGTGCCAAGACAGAAGAAGACACGGTCGTAAATGAGGGCAGAGGATACATCAATACTAAGGGCACCACTTTCCCGCCAATTACTGCTCCCGAAGCGGTCGCCACAGAGGTCACAGCCCCCCCCCCCAAGGAGGGTTGCCGCTGCTTGGAAGGCAGCACAACCGCGCAAACAGACTGCCAAGGCACCCAAGGTTCGTGCTGTTCGACAAGATCCCTCGATCCGGAAGTCAACTAGTCCGAATCCGAAGGCTGCTGAAGCTCAAGTGCGGAGGTCGTCTCGTCTGGCAGAGAAAACGAACAGACGTATATAAATATTACGCCGCTCTAGAATCTCAAGCTGTTCGTTTGTGCTTCAGCTGGCTGTTCTTCTGTACATAATTTCATACCGCACGAGCTTTGGTGTAGTTAAACTGTACGTTCACAGCAAATTGTGGAGTGAAGAATATGCATCCGATGTAACTTGTAGTATGCAGTATGTATACAGCTTCGGCGCCGGGAGCACCTGGCGCGTCACGCTAGATGCGCCCGCCACGCCTCTCTGCGGAGCCCATTCTCCCTTCCTTATGCACACCCACAGTCGCCGACGATGGCACTCATAAATCCCTCCGTCGGTCTCTTTCTCTTTACCTCTTTGCTCACAATTCCTCCATCCTGGATCTGGCTACGTCGGCGACGCCGCTCGACACGCTCACGTGTGCCAAATGCTAATGCGCATCCGCCATACGAACGGCTCCTCACTGTCCTGCTGCATCTACACACCGCATATATCCTCTACTGCTTGACGGTACACTGGCCCCCAAACCTGTTTACTTCACTGAGGCTGCCGCTGACGACGCCCACGGAACGCATACGTAGTATTTTGCTGGAGCGCGCCGGTCTCAAGTCAGATGAGGGACTGCCGCGGCCGCTAGACGAGCTGTTAGCGAGGCTGGGGAGTGCAGAAATACGAACAGCATATGTCAGGTGCGTGGCTCGTACTCTGTATGCCACAGTGTCCTGGCGCACTGGCAGTGTGTGCACGCCACGCTGACGCTCTGCGGCAGGTACGGCCAGAAGGTTATCCAGGATTGCGCGCATTGCAAGACAATGGAGCACTACGCGCTGTTCATCGTCCCCGGGGTGCTTCTGCAGTACATCCGCGAGGCACTCGTCCTCGGCTTGCTCACGGTCGAGAACAGCGGACGTACACGCCTGCGCACGACGGGCATCCTCGTGCTCGTCATCGCCGCGTTCGCAGAGGCATGGACCGTGGCCACGGTGCAGATAAGCATGCCTCAGGACAACAAGCCTGTTACCATGGTGCGTGGCCGCGTTCGCTCTCATTCCTCGAGACGTCCTTACAGGCTCTCCCGCAGTGGCACGACGTACTCTACGTCGCAAGACACATCCTCTTCCTCGTGCTCTCCATCCTCCTCTACGCTCTCCCTGCAACGCTAGTGCCTCCGCCCCTCTCGCCCCTCTTGATGGAGATGCGTGCGAATGTAGACTCGCTCGCCCGCCGCGTGACGCTGCTCAAATACCTCGGGCCTGCGATCCTTCGTGACGAGAACCTCCGAGAGGCCTCTGCGAACTGGTGGACGAAACAGAAAACGGTGGGGAAGTGGGTCAGAGAAGACGAGGGCGTGTGGAGGGCTACAAGACGCGATTCTGGTACCAAAGACGGGGACGAAAAATTGAAGGAAAAGGTACACGATACTGTGAACGAGATGCTGAGAGTCAAGGCTCCTACAGTCGTACCACCTACGCATCAATAGAGTGACTGTTACATCATACACGCATGGCTCGTCAATGTGTCTTGTGGACTTTCCCTTGGGATCTTGTAGCTTAGAATATAATATATAGTTCTAGTCACTTGTGATCGTGGTTGGGGAGCAGTGAGGTGGCAGACACATGCGACACAGAAAAAGATCGTTCACCCAGCCAGGAAAACAATCAGTAGTACATGAATTCGGGCCAAGCTGTGCGTACACGTACATACAATACACCAATCGCCACTTCCGTCTAAGTCACTCTCATTGACGAACACGCACGACCTTTCTCTTGCCCTTCCCCCCACCTCCAAGGGCATTTGCCATGGGGTCCGGAGCGCTCATGCCAGCCTTAACGGTCTCCACGAGGATTCCGGACACGAGAGCTGGAGAATACGGCGATACGCGATTTGGCAGCGGGGGATGCGGCGCCGGAGGTAGAGGTAATATTTGGCTACCTGACCTGGGAAGTGACGCTGCGGCCGGCGAGAGCGTCGTGCCTGCGGTCGTACCCTTCCCGACGGTCTTGCTCGCGGGCTGCTTACCCTTCGACGGCGTGGGGGCCGGAGCGGGCTCCGCGGGCATGTCACTCGCGAAGCTGTACGGGAGCTTGGGGACGTGATCCGGCTTCTGCATCTGTATCTGCATAGATATCAACTCGAGCAGCTGTTTCTCTGCAGAAGTGAGGGTGCGGCGGCGCCTTCAGCAGTGGCGTCGTGCGGGCGGGCAAACAAGGAGCACGCACTCGTCTTGATACTGGGGTTCATCAGCCGCCCATCCTTCTTCCACTGCACGCGCACCCGCCCGGGGTTCTCCCAGTCGCGCGGGTGCGCCTTCTGGCCCTCGTGTAGCACGCCGAGTCCAAGTCGGCTTGCCGCCTCGGCGATGTCCCTGCTGAGCGGCCACCAGACCGCCTTCTGTCGCGCGATGCGCCGTTCACCCGTACCATATGGACGCTTGGCGTCAATGTAGATGGGGTAGATGCACGTCCATCTGCAGCTTCCGCGCTCAGCGTTATGCATCGCTCTGCATGGACAGGATAACGCACTTCAGATAGGCCCCGTCCTTTGGCATGTTCGGGGCGGCGGCGGCTGGTGCAAATCCCCCTGCCGCCTCTCGCTGCTGGAAGTGCGCATACGAGGGTGTGGCGGGGCCCGCCTCAGAACCACCATCCTCGTCGTCTGAGAGAGCCTCAAGGATGGCGCCTTGTGCGCCAGTGTTGGGCAGCACCCGGTTTGGGAGGGGGAGGTCTGTATCGTCGTCAAAATCTTCGACAACTACGGCGCGGCGGGACATGGTCGGTGCAGAGTCCGGTGTTGGGTGTCGAGTCGTGGGAGGACCGAGTGTAAGTTAAGGCGGCTCGCCAAGAACAATTTTGTTCGGTTGATGAGTCGGAGTTTTCCGCAAGCGTGATCTTTCACGACGAACCCGACCGGACTTGCAGTCACGAAATTGTCTCGTTTCTGTGTCCCTCTCCAGAATCTCTCAGACGACTTGGCGAATGCGGCTACCATAACTGTTGGCCCTTTGCCATCATCATTGTCGGAGGCAGTGTGCAAGATGCAGCTGAATACTCTTGTAATGTGAGTTGCGTACACTACACTCCATACATCACTCTAAAGTCAGAGAATAGCTTACTCTACCAACTAGTAATATACCTGACATGTGTGTTTGCCCAAACGGAAATTCCTTCAAATAATGGCAGTCAGCTCATCTGCGTACCGTTCGGGACATGTGAGCCATGTCCCGAGAGTGCCGTACGTGGTCCTTTCCTGCGTCCAAACTTGCTGACCGACGCTCCATACTACTAGTTACACCAGCCATTCTGCCAGCCGTTTGGGAATCGCAGGCTTATGCATTGCATCTCCGCACCGTCTTCGTCCCCGAACTCAAACGCACATCCTCCACAACAAGACTCGCGCCCGCCGTCATACTCGCAGCATGATTCGACTCAACCACCACCACCTCTGCATGACCATGCTCCATTCGACGCCCATCGTGGAGGAGAGACCCCAGCGTGGGAGTCTTGCGGACGCATTGTGCCGAAGGAGCGAGGCGACTTTTACGAGTTCTTGGCTTGCAACTTGGGCATTGCCCTCGTGGCTATAGGAGCAGTGTTCGTGCGTTCGAAAAGGCTTCAAGCTATGCACGCAAGGCAGCTGGCTGTGAGGATTGGCCTTGTGAGGCCGACTCCTGGAGGATGGGGTGAGGGGTGAACAGGTCAAGTGAGCCGATCCCACACCTTCATCATGATGTTTCTTTGCCTAATCATGTGTAGATTGCTCATCGTCGCGATACCCTTTAGAATTCATTTGATTTTTCTCATCTATCCCGAGATTTGAAGACGAAACAAAGTCTGCAGCTGCAGTTCATAGTCGACCCCCTAACGCCTGAGATTGAGCGTGTCCAGTGATAGCAAGCGGTTACTCTGGCCCAGGTGGAGAGCGGAAGTGTTTCCCGAGCCCTTCGGCTCACACCGACATCGGCATCGCGGCGAGACAGCGGCCCCATAGATTCTCTGTCTGACCAAGTGTCCAGCGACAGGGCTATGCATGCTTTCTACGACATCGTAATCACACCTAGATGCTTATTCCTCACTCCCAATAGACAATTTAACTGTGGCCGCGGGGATCAGCACATCCATGTCTGTGCAAGAGCATGGTTTCGCGTGGTGCCGGACGAGGCCCCGGGGCAAACCTGCAGACGTCATGTCTGCCTCTTCATCATCAACTATACCTCATCCTCTTGCAGGACAAGATGATCTGTACCCTCCTACCCTCCTCTACCAAGACCGAGCGCCGACGGCAGGAGCTGTACGCGGCTGGCAGATACCTCTGGCCCTTTCGGAGACGACACTTCCGGTAAATCTTGGCTCTGGTGATCGTTGTCATCGAACCGTGTTACCGTATAGGCCTGTCGGTAACACCGTACCCTGCGGCATTGGCGTGTATATATGGTAAATTAGATCTTGCTTTCGAGTGATTACTGAGGTTGACTGACATCCGACTATAGCCAAGCCTAATTTATAGCAGAAACGATCTTCATTGTCTGCGCAGCCAAGATATCGATTTCACGCATTATCTACGCTTGCCGTCGACATAGAAACGTGTCTTGCAGCTTAGACCACCTGCGAAGCGTACATAGAAATCAGAGAACAGCACAGGTCCCACATAAGCTCGGCTACTGACGCACCATCTCCCAACGGCCGACATATCCGCGGTTTACACTGTACGTATCCCATTGTTTTGATTCTAGCCCACTAATGAAGGTACTATGTGAGGTAGACTATTCCTGGACTCTTCGTTCAAGACGATCCGGAGACCGTCGGCTCTGCAATCGGAGCAGTGCGTACGTCTACCTATCCTAGACCGAAGCAAAGCGGCGTGCTCGTGAGGAATCTATTTTCGGCTGCGACTCGGTGACTATAAGAACTCGAATGTGATTGCTGCTTTGAAACGGTACATGCACCGCTTCTACGATCTGCGAGATCGGCAATACCTCAGTCCATGTCGCAGATCTGCGGAATGTGTGTTCATGCACCTTCCCGTGCTCCACATTTCACGGCAGGAGAGCAGCTCGAGACACAGGGGACAGAACCGACTGGAGGTCGTCTATGGTACACGCAAACTTGAAGAGGTGGGACCCCCGAGTCCAAAGAATTGAGCCCGATCGAACTCGAGTTCTCCAAGCACGGGGCCACAAATGACATATGATAGCTCCAAGCCACTCGTCATCTCGTCACCCTAAGCCGTCTGGTAGCCCGTGCCAATTATCCCTGAAAAGCCCTGAAACCGGTACCAATGCGAGAGTCGTTAAGCTTATGTGACGGCGTCTAAAGGCCCACGATCCTATATATGGCCCTCAGGTTGTTCAGTTGATTCAACGCTCTCCCACTCCCGTGTCTGCCTTTGCAAACCGGGTTTGCACGCTTCGGTTGCTCACCGGAGTTCACGGGTATGATACACCAGGGGTAAGTGTGCCGACGTTGCCTTGCCGGTAGATCGCCGTTGTCGTCCGTGGACCGTCATATAAACCTCGACGCACCGGGCCGCGCGACGATACGCAACGATGACCTGGGGCCTGCCCTCAGAGCTGGTCGACATCATCATCCACCACTGCCATAATGACCCTGCCACTTTGGCCACATGTGCTCTTGTGCAAAAGTCATGGGTTCCTCGAGCCCGGTACCACTTTTGGCGCGAGCTGCACCTGACGTGCACGAAGGAGGAGCTGGAGAAGGTGGGAAGCATGCTCGACGAGTCGCCCGATATCGCGTTCTACGTTCGCGACGTTATCCTCTCTCAGAATAAGGGCGAGGCATGCCAATCTCACGACTTCCATCTCCTGCGCTCCGCACTGTACATCCTCGCCCGCTTCCCCTCCTTGACCTCTGTCAAGTTCGACGGTCTCTGGTTCGGCGCGCCGAAAGACAGCGAGAACGCACCGCACCGCCTCACATTCCCCACCGTCTACCGCCTCTGTGTTAGCAACTGCACCTTCGACGCCTTCGACGATGTCCAGCAGCTCTGCGCTGCTTTCCCTGCCCTCTCCCGCCTCCAGTTCGACGGTGTCTGGTGTGGCCACTGGGCCGCAGATCGAGGCTTTGCAAGCGGCAACAAACGGCGCGCAAAGCCTCTCATGCTGCGCGAGCTCGACCTTGGCAGCTGTTTCTCGCGCGACTGCGTGATCGACTGGCTGCTCGCAACGCTTCCTGGGCCATCCATCGGATGCCTCCGTCTTCCGCTCGTGAGCGCTTCCGACACCCGCCTGCGCGAGTTGCTGCAGTTTGTCGGCCCATCGCTGCACCATCTTGAGCTTGGCCCGCCGAGTTCGTCCACCGCTCACCGCAGGAGAAGTGAGTTGGACATTATCCGCCATATCCCTCGCGCTGACATCCCGTATTACTTGCAGCTGGTGTTCAAGAAAAGCCTCTTACGACGTACCTTGACATGTCGCACAACACGGGGTTGCACACCATACAGTTGGGTGTGCCCACATACCGCGATGCGGCGTACATCTCGCTTTGGCTCAAGACCATTCTCGGTCAGATCGCCTCGCCGCTTCAAGAAGTGCGCTTCGCGATCTACCCCGTCCTCATGGGCGACGCTCCGGACGCAAATGACATGCTTCGCGCTTTTGCGTGGAAGGACATCGCATCCATTCTGCAAAACTCGCAGTTTGCGAAGCTCAAACGGGTTGTATTCGTCTCCGCGAGGTCGAAGGATTACTTGAACGTACCCGGGGCATTCGTCGCGCTACAACCGCTCCTGCGCAAGATCATGGTGCCTGAATTTGTTCCGTTGGCGAAGCAGGGAGTCGAGATTGCTTTCGAAGGCGCGTGAGGGCAGTGGTGTATCGGTCTCAGATCTTCCGGATTCGAAGGGATTGTGTATAGTATATTCGCTCGGTTTTCAATGATATCGCATCCGATGTACTCCGCCGAGGGTTAGCATCGAACGAAATGCTCCGCCATCACCCAATTGCCCCAGCGCCACAAAGATTGCTTTCGCGCCTGGTGGCCGCCCGCAACGTGTAACTGCCCTTTCTGGTTCATGGAAAATCCACCCTCCTGCTGCGCGCACAGCGAGCATTCTAGCTCAGGTCCGCAGGATTTTGCGCGAATGGGACTGTCCAGCCTCCATCACCGCCTTCAAGTTGCAGCCAGCATGTTGATGGAGGACGCTTGTGTCACCTTCTGCTCTGCCATCTTCGGTGCGTGCTTTGGGGTTTTGCCAGGGCCTTGGTTCTGTGCTTGAGTGATTTTCTCTCGGCTCGTCAGTTGTTTGCCTAATCTGGGGACCAGGACATTCCTGCCTCGGGCACACCGGCATGCGCCTATACTAGTGCACAAGTGGCGAGGACACAGACGAGAACGTGGACGAGGACGAAGGCAGCACCCCGGGCAGCATATTGAGACTTCCCTGATAACAGACAGTTTCGTGAGGTAGACAGCTCGCAGCTGTCGTGATGGCCTTCGTTTAAGAGCCTGTTCACCCGTAGTATCGTTTAAAGTAAGCCTCCGAATCAGTGCGGGGCGCATCGCACCCCCGGGATAAATGTCACCCCAATATCTCAGCTGTCCGCCATCTATCTACGATATTTACAGGAAATCAAAGAACACGCCCGCTCTCGAACAACAGGTACCGGCACAGAATCATGCTTCCTGTATTGAATCACAGTAAGCTAGCGCGCATTGTGGATGTGTAGATGAGACGCACTTCGTACTCACCAGCTTGCCCTCAGGGTTATACTCAGATCGGCGAACCACTGCGAAACGTCGTACTGTACTAGTAGCGTGAGGATTTTATGTGAGTGCCAAACGACCCGTAACAAATGTTCGGACCTGCGATAAAGCGTTTCCCTTAAGATCCACCTTCCCATCGAAAAGTGGATTCGACATCCAGCACTAACAAAGGTGTATCGATGGCCTGGCTTGAGCATCGAGAGGGATGAGACAAGGGGCTCTTTAATATGAAAATATTTGTATTTCGGAATATAAATCGCTACTCCTTTCTGTACCGGGCATTCACTCGTCAGACACTCAGGCTACTATAGTACAAACAACGCAAAAGTTGCGGTATAGATCTAAAGCGGACGACCATGTGAGTAGAAATGAGAAAGAGAAGAGCACTTCCTAAGATCAAATACACCACAAATATGCCCATCTATACTGTTACATCCTCACGAGCCGCATTGAACTGTGAGCGCACGCGCACCTCAGCTGCAGGTATGGACATGGCGTCGGCGAACTCCCTAGTGAACGCCTTCGAGCCCCGAGATTCGGCCTTGATCTTGCATACGGCCTGGAAGCAGACCTTGAATGCAACCTTAGGTTTGATTGAATACAGGCAGGATGCCTTCAGCTTGTCCAGGTTCCCGAGCATCGCAAGAGCCTCGCAGCCTACTGGCGTCTCCATGTAGTGCCGCGCGAGCCCATCGACCTGAACCTGGACCTTCTTCTTCGCTTCACTCTTCTGGGCCTTGGTCGCGTACTGGCTGCCGCGGTACGATGGACCCCAGATGGCACCCCACGTCCTGCTGATCTCGCGCATGGCCGTCTCGAGCCGGCCCACCTCAGTGCAGAGTGCCTCCGAGAGGAGCCCCGCCTGCCGGGCATTGCAAATCTCGGTCCAGGGACGTTCAATGTCCGGGTCAGGCTTGTCCTCCATGAGCTTAAGGTTCGTCCCGATGCTATCGTACTTGGCGAGCAGCTCTCTTTGGATTGACGACCCGGCGCGGAGGAGCTTGTCGAGGACGAACGGGCCAAGGGCATGATCGCGCCGTGGCCCATTGCCCGTGCCTCCAAGGCACTCGGGCTTGGCGAAGCCAAACCGGCCATTGTCAGCCTTCACCACCTCGGGCTTGACGGCCAGTCCGGACTTGCGCGAATCAAGCACGGTCGTAAACCTGGTGAGGAGGTCAGCGGAGAGGCCAGGTATGGGGGAGAATGAAGACGCACATGAATGCGAGCCGGATCGTGTCCGGGTGCGCGTACCCATACCTGTACATCGCATTCTCGTTGTACCAGGAGTACTTGCCTGTCTTGGATTCCGTAAGTCCAATGAGGAGGTGCCGGCGGAGAATGCGCGACGCGTCTGCGGGGCGGTCGGACATCATCCTCACTACAGAAGCAACAGTCGGGATCTTGTCCTGAGACTCGAAGTACTTTTCCAAGAAGTTTGGCGGCTCGGCAGTGAATACAGGCTGCCTGAAGTCACCGACGATCTGTGGGTCGAAGATGCAGGTAGCGACATCTGGACGTATAGTGTGGTTAAATGGGAGGAAAATGCGGCATGCCAAGCGTCATACCTCCATCATAATCTGCGGGCAGGGCAGAGAGTGAGTCTCGGATACTATTCCTCAGAGAAAATTTTCGCCTACCTCCACCGGCCAACAAACTTGCTAGAGATCGTCTGCCCTTGGTCGGCAAGATAATCACGTCGAGGTAGTCGGCGTACTCCGGTCGACAGACAGCCCGCACTTTTTGCACATCGGACGGAACTCGGGCAGGGTTGCGGTAGATCTGACAATATCTCAGCCTTGTTTTCGCCGATCAAAGGTACTAACAACCCACCAGCACGTCACCGACAACCGACTTCGGATTTAGGTGCTCGCATGCATCCTTGAGATCCTGAGAGGACTTGAAGTGGATCTCGTCTTCCTCGAGCAGGCCGTATGGGTCTGTAAAAGAGACTATCAGTGCCATGCTTCGAAATCTTTGAGAGGCGATAGCTTACCTGGGACGATGAACGCCTCCGCAGACTCCGGCACAATAATGTGATAGTCCTTTATGTAGGACTCCATCACAATCTTGAGCAGAGTCTTCAGTTCGTTGTATAGATGGATATCCGTTAAAGGCGAGAATCCCGCCTGTATACGCTCGAGGATCCCCTCACCGATAGCAGGAGGCGGGGCATCAGTGTCGGGCTTGGTCGGCTCATCTATAACAGCATCCCCATTGTCCACCTCGAAGGGCAACGGCGCCGCATCGTCCTCGCCGTCAGACTCGTCCTCGTTGTGACGACGAGTCAGACCGAGGGCGCGCTGTATGCCGGCGGCCGTGCGACGCAAGCGCTGGAACGATGTCCCGGACGCCTTGTTGACGGCGTGCCAGAGGAGGGGCATCGCGCTCGCGCCCTGCCACTGCGTGAGGCCCTCGACCTCTGCCTTCAGGCCGCCCTCCATGAGCGCCGTGAGGATCTTCGTGGGAACACCGTTGTGCGCGAGATTGACGATCGTCAGGCGCGATAGGCGCGCGGGCACGGTCGAACGCGAGGGCATGACGAGGTCGAAGATGAGGTGCGCGCGATGCAGCGTCGCGAGCGACTCCGCGTTGTACTCGCGCACCAAACGGATTTTCCGCTGCGACGGCCGGATCCAGATGCGTGGCTCCGCGGTTGGCGCACGGTCATCCGGATGCAGCAGCCAGACTCCCTTTGACCCCAGGATACGTCCCTGTACGGCGGTGGGCGGAGAACCGGAGCCAATCCACTTGCCTACGCGCATGAGCGCAGCGCCGTTCATGAAGCCACAGCCGTCAGTGAAGATTTTCTCAGGTGGAACTTTACCGCCCGTGTGAGGTGCCTCTGTGGGATGGCTGAGTATGAGCGGGGACGATAGGTACATGGAGCGCGGCGAACCTATATCGTTTATCATATAGATATTTCTTGGATCGAACTCAAGAACTGGGGAGGATGTGGAGAGTGCGAGATCGGATCGGGCCGCATACTTGCTCAAGTTCTGGACGCAACACGGTCAAGACATCGCAAGTTTTGAGTGTGAAGACTAGCGCACCTGCTTATCATTAAGATCCAACGGATTGTACCATTCGATGAGCTTCTCGAGGGAGTATCGCAGGTGGTCACCCTTCTTGCGATCAGCCGTGCGCTCGAAGTCTTCGTCCGTCTCGACCAGATAGATCTTCTGGTCTTTAACGGCGAAGGACACGAACACGCGCCCGCACAAGACAAACTTGTGGCTCAAGAAGTCCTTCAGCGCGTCCATCTCCTTCTGTTCGTACAGCGCCTCCTTAGGGATTTTGACGTGAAGCACGCGATGTGATCCAAGGAACCGAGCAAGCCGGTGGGAACGGCCAACTTTCTGCATGGCGCCGAGTTGGAGGTAATATTTGTGCTGCTGCGCATCCTTCTCGATGCGCGCGAGCTGCTGCACGCGTCCTCCGTACCAGTTTTTCTCACCTTCCCAGTCGCCCAGGAGGCCCAGTCCATGACCCTTCCCTTCCAAGAGGGCTTTCTGTTCGCGAGACAACTCTTCCCTGTTCTGCCCGTCAGATGCAATAAGGTCAAATAACAGAGTCGGTCGCGTACCAGATGTCCCGATTCAGCCCAATTATGTGTTTTCCCATCACATTCTGGACACACCGAGGATTGGTGCCCTTCGCGAGGACGCCAATCTTGTCACGAGTAACTTCCGCCCAGGTCCAATGATTGTTGCTCACTCCGCGGGCGAGTTCATACTGGATCGCCCACGGAATATTGGCATCATCCAGCATCTGCTGAACTTGGGGGTCGTGAGCAATGTGAACGTAGTCTTCAGGTGCCGTGGAAGACGGTGGCGACGGCGGGGAGCTAGAACGGACGATGAGCTTTGGTGAATGGTTTGTGTAATTCCACATACCTCGGGTTTGGCATCGAGTTGCTCCGGAGAACCGGCTGGGGGGATGGAGAAAAGGGTGCTGCAAAAGGAGCAGGCATTGTCGACGCGCGCGCAAGCGGTTGTCCGGACCGTCGTGAAGGTGTGTTGGCTCCAGATGTGGATGGAGAGAGAGATTTTCTATCAACTAGGTTAACTCCCTCTAGGGTATTGGGTTTTCTAGTGCTTACGCAGTTGGCGAGCCTTGGGACATGACTACCTCACTATGTGCTTGTTAGTATGAAAGACACCAAGGCGTGAGAGCACGCACAGCCATTTATTCCTCTCGGCTCTCTTTTCGGGCGTTATGGGGGTAGAGGCTGAGAAATCTGGCGGAGAGGTCGTTGAACGACGACTAGCGAAGGGAGAAGCAGGCGGTGCGCTGTGATCGTCTCTGATGTCTAACCTGGGAAGGTCTCGGGTCGGTTGATCGACGTTCCTTGCCTGATCGTAATCTTCGTTGTCGCTTTCTGTATCGAAGTCATTGTTGTCACCGGATTGCGCTGTAGAAACTACGCGTGAGCAGTGATTCCAGCTTTGCGCAGAGTCACATACCCCTCCTACGTGCTGCAGAGTTTGTTGATAAGTCGGACATAGAGAGTGCTCCGAGCCACTCTCGAAGTACTCACAGGATGTCATGGACGCAGTATTCGGGTTCGTCGTCGTGGTGTTACTGTGAGATCGGCCCTACGAACTCATCGAACTCGTTTCGCATCGCGAGAACAAAGAAGACTCACGATGTGCGCGCTGCCATTTGATGAATCTGAAGCATTGATGGTGAGCCAGTAAAGCACTGTTGAATCGTCGCGTCGAGCTCACTCGGTCTAGCGTACGGCCCTCCATGTCTTCTAGTCTGGTAGAAAGCCAAGGTCAGATGGAGAGCTTTGAGGAGTAACGCTACGGCTCATACTTGCGGCGGCACACTTGGTACTTGGCCTGGCATATGAGGCTATCGATCAGTTGGATCAACAAGGACCAACAACATCCGGTATGCACCTATCGTCTCCTCGTCGCTCGACTCGTACTGCTGCGGCCCGTCGCTGAAATCCATGAACTCCTCGTCTGACGATGAAGAATCAGCGTAACTTGCAAAGCCCCGCCTTGGCACCATGGTAACGACGACGGAGGTGGGAAAGGCGGCAGTGTCGACCTGACAGTGACAGTGACGCAGGGCAGACTGATATACGACCTCGTGCAGCGGGATCCCACAGACCCCCCAAGTAAAGAATCGGATCGATCCCCTCTGTCTCAGGGCCTTTTATCAGTGCAGCATCGCCGAGGGACGTGAAGAAGACGAATCGAGCTGCGCTGTCCCTTCAAAGCAGCACGGCGCCAAAGCTTCGGCTTCATGGTTCGTTCAGGCAAGAGAGTGCCAGAAGTAAGTCGACGTTGTCACGCGGAGCAGGGTTCGGACTGATACTTGCAGGATTACTGGCACAGTGAACCGAAGGAAGATGCAATTCGGAAGCAGCGAGATGAACGCAAGGATCGGTATTGATGCGGGCGTCTGTAGGCAGTCGGGGAAAGTCCGACAAGGCCTGATAAGGCAATGATGCGCCCTATACGTCGTCCCGAAATCTCCGCTATTCCTTCTTCTTGCGCGACACGGGCAACCACGTCGGAAGCAGGAGAGTTCATACATCGTTATCCGCTCGACTCCATGCATTCGACCTCATGTGGCGAAGCTTTTCGGAGCCGTGCCCGAAGCTATGCCATTTAGGAACCTCTTACGGAGCGGCGAGTTGCTCAAATGCAAATGAAATGAAACGTTAGCATTAAAAGCCATGATGGGTGACGACAATTTGTTTGCCGGTCATTAAGCCGTCTTATAACTTGAGTACTAGGTCCACCGACATATATAGGGCCCGCCGCTCGCCCTTCGTTCGATTTGCGGACAGAATGGTTCCCCCACTCCCCCAGGAGCTCTTGGACTACATTTTAGACCACCTCCACGACGACAAACACGCGCTCAAATGCTGCTCTACAGCCTGCCTCTCCCTCTTACCGACTTCCTCGTTCCATCTCTTTCAGGAAGTCGCTCTGGGCAGACGACTCTGTGCGCCGACCTCGGAGGTGCTCCGACGTTTCGCCCGTGCTGTCGAAAAATCCCCCAGACTGCGTACTCATACGCGTGGTCTATCGCTTTCCCCACCTCTCCGCACACGTAGATCGCAAGGCGCGAGCCTCGGTATCGATCTCCACGTCCTTCGTGACACCTTAGAGCAGCTGCCCAGCCTCCGGACTATCGATTTGAGATATGTGCAGATACTACCGCATGGACCTGTCCAATCGCTATCGCACCCAAGTCTCAGGAAGGTGGTCCTTGGGACGCTGCACCATCCAGAGCCCTCTAGGCTTCGGGATATATTGCCGCTGTTGTTCGGCGTCCGGCTCGGTACTCTCGTGCTCTTCGGCCAATGGGCTGAAGATTCCGATCCAGTCCAATACCAAACTCTCTCCCTTATCCGTGTGTCGTGCCTGTCATTCCAGGAACGGAATGCAGACAATAGTGGATCCTGCCTTGCCGCACTACGCCTGTCCACGGACCCTGGTTCGCTCCGAGAGCTCCGCATAGCGCTGGAGAGTCTCGCAACTGCCCATCACGTCAACAGCCTTGTCCGACAAGGTTCTCCGAACCTGCGTGCGCTGCACTTTGATCTGACGGAGCTGCGGCTGTCATGTATAGGTACGCCATCTGCCCGTGCCTGCTTCCGGCGTACGCTGACTATGGCTAGGAGGAGGCACCGTCCCGTCTATTGCGGCCATCTCCGAATGTGCTAGCCTACAAGGTATCTCCTTCAAGCTGACCATGTGCTCACGGGACGCGCATCATGCTCTTATGAGCACCATGGCCTGGTCGTTCGTCTTACAAGTTCTGTCGCACGCGCCACCGACTATCCGGAAAGTCGTTTTCAGCATGGAGGCATGTCCTAGATTCCACAGCCAGTGTGTTCCTGAGACACGCGACGAGACCCATTCTCTCCGGCTATCTCGTCTCCAAACTCTACTCGGCAGGTTGCTCGGCCTTGTGTCCGTGACGCTTGAACTGGTCCCCTTAGGGTTTTCACACGAGCCGTTGATTGAAGAGATGCGGCATGCTTTGAAGTGGGTAAAGTCTGCACATAGTACCAAGTACGAGGTGTCTGTACGTTAGGCACCTGGCCCGGCGAAGATGGTGGGTATTGCTTCTGGATGTCCGCCGCGATTTGCCGCGCCACGAAGTTGATGGCGCATCACAGATCGTCGGACGCTGCCGAGAACATGTGAGGTCATACCATTGCGTGAGAATTGGTTGCAACCTACCCTGTTCACGACACTCACCATGACCTCTCAGCAGACTGTTATTCGTGAAGTAAGTCATCAAACACAACAGAATATATATTCTAGCCCCATATTTAGACAATATCCTGCAGGTAGTCAAGGATATCTGGACGTTTTCTTGCCCGTTCTCGCGCTTCGGTTTTGTCCCTGTTGGAGGAAGGTCGACCGCAATCAAGCTATCCTCTGGCGACGTCTGGGTCCTAGCTTCAACACCTCTAAATGATGCGACCAAGTCGAAACTAAGCGAACTCGGTCCCGTGAAGTACATCGTCAGTGCTGACGCAGTTCACCATCTGTTCCTCGGTGAGGCATTGTCGCATCAGAATGTTGCGAGGCACGCTAACCACTTCAAATATACAGGCGAATTTAAGAAAGAGTATCCCTCGGCTAAGCTGATTGCTCCAGAGGAGGCCATCAAGAAGAAGACGGAGGAGGGGCTGACCTTCGACGGTTGTGAGTGCAATTATATATTGCCGCGTCATGAGCTAACTGCCGCTCTCAAGCCTGGGGAAAGGATCCAGAAGATACCACATACGGATTTGAACATGATGTATGCCATCTCTCTGCGTTGTTGGCAGAACCTGAGCTGATTTACCATGCGTCTGACAGATCCAGCATCGGTAAATTAAACACCTTCCGTCGGCGCTCACTCCCGTTGTATCTCTTCGGTGCTGAATAGATGTTTCAGATATTTTTCGGGACATCAGAACAAGGAGGTCGTCTTTTTCCACCCTTCCTCAAAAACGCTGATTGAAGCCGACCTTCTCTTCAACCTACCTGCGAATGAGCAAGTAAGCGCCACACTATACGAGTACTAGAATGCGCTCATGACCTCGCGCCTGCCAGTATTCCAAGTCGTCGTCTTCTGGGCGTATACCGCTGCTAGGAAACATGATTCATCCATGGCACGGTCTCCACAAGAAGCTCGCTTGGGCGGCGGGGGTCGACAAAGCGTCCGTACACATCTCTTGCGTCCCGTTCTGTGCTTACTTCTCGTAATAACTTTAGTGCTATGAAGAGAGACTGCAAAGCCATCGCCGATTGGGATTTCAAGAGGATTATCCCATGCCATGGTGTAAGCAGCAGTGCATCTTTGATGCTCACGTTACTGAGATCAGACGCTGTTAGGATGTAATCGAGGAAAGAGGAAAAGATGCTTTCATGGAGGCGTTTAAGGCTTTCTTGGACTAAACCTGCGCATTTTCTGATACTTTCCAGCTTGTGATGATGGACAGGACGTTCTTGGCTTCGACAAACGCGTGTTTCGCGTACGACTATGTTGATACCGTGTAGGATATTTAATCTGAACCAGCGGATTGAAGACTCGTCTACAGCGGGCTACGGCATGTTCTTGGGATTCCTCTTCTTTTCGTCCTCCGTCCATGGTAACAACGCATGTCCTGTGGATCTTGGGAGATCATGAGAGCGCGCATCTTAAAACCCTCCGCTTGCGTTGGAAACGCACCAAAACGTCTTGTTTTGGGTTATCGGTCGCTGACCGGCACTTACTAGCACGTGTTTGGCGTGCCTAGTGGCGCCCTCGCACAGCTCTCCCAGACATGCTGCCTCCAGCCGCTGTGCGCTCACCAAAAACACAAGGCTATGGAGCGACAACGGCAAGGTCCTGCAGCTATAAGCTTTCTCCCAGGGTGCGCCCATTCTGCCATCTGTCCTCTGTTTCTCCCTTACATTCATCATGTCTAGCAGCCCTATCTTCTGCAAGGTCTGCAATAACCAGAGATTCAAGAGCGAGTCTGCGTACCAGCAGCACGTGCGCGACAGCACGTCGCACCGCGAGCGACTGCGCCAGCAGGTCGTGTGCACCGCGTGCGGCGGGAAGATCTTCAAGGACGCGGCCGCGTACAACAACCATGCAACGCAGAACAAGGAGCACCTCGCCAGGGTTGGGTGCGCGGCTGCCGTGCCGAGCACGAGTGCTGCATCGACGTCCGCGACGCCCCGCGCAAGCGTCCTGCTCCCTGGGACGTCAGCACCTGGCATCGGTGCTGCAGCTGCGTTTTCCCGAGCCAGTCTTCCTCCTAGCATTAGCAGTCGTCCGGTGTCTGTTGCTTCTTTTGCGACGACAACGATTCATTCCCCTGCTGTCACTCGTCCCGGCTCTTCTGCCACCTTCACTCCTCGCGTGACCCCCGCTGCAGTCCTCAGGAGCGACACACCGCCTAGCGTGAGGGCATTCAGACAGCTCAGCGCGGCATCCAACGATCTTCCAAGAGTAGCCGCAATGGTATGTCGGTTTCGCACATAGTAATATCGTGCTCCTCCAATGATGCTATGATAGGATGTATCCGCTACGCTCCCAAAATGTCCAATCTGCGGAGACCCAGTCTCATACACCACGTTGTATCAGGTCTTTCATCTGTTCGACTAGATTTTAGCATTTGTGGCTGATCGCGCTCTACAGCACGCCTTTGACAAGCATCCCGAAGTCTGCTGTGAGAAGTGTTCCACCGTGTTCAGATCTTCTTCGATTCTCCAGCAGCACTGGAAAGACTCCGATGCTCATCCGAGCTGCGAGTACTGCCCAGAGGCATTCCCAGACTCTGGATCCCATTATGCGGTTGGTTCCCGGCTTTCATCTACACCAGGAACGTTGAGCTCATCTTTGCTGCCGTAGCATGTATCCCAGGCCCACAGCGGGACTCACGCACAGCAACACGATTCGCTGTACGAAGTAGTATACGCGCACATCTCTGCTCCTCCCCTTCGAGAGTCCTATTCGCAGGACTCCTCCTCTGACCATTCCTTCCGGGCGCCGTCCCCGTTGTCCTCTTGCGACCTCTCAGACGTGCCCGACCAGCCTGACGTTTCCCGCAGCGCATTACACACGGAGGCATGTGAGACTCCAAAGTCTGATGTCCCGGGACTCCAGAGAGGTCTAGTGAGTCTTCGTACCTTTGCAGTTGTATCCTCTTTACTGATGTTCCTCGAGGTGGTCGACATCACACCAGCGTCTGAGCCCGCAAGAGCTGCTTCTGAGCCACCTCCGTCCGCCGTTGCACCATCTAAATCAAATTCTATGTTTGATGAGCCTGCTGTCGACCTCGCGGCAAGTACGCAGAGCATTCGTTCCCAAGCGGCACCCGTACCTTCTACCACCGGCGATGTAGCAGGCGCGAACCAGGAGATGGGATCCCCCAGACGGAGGTGAGCGTGCACCGGGCTTTTGGCAACATGCAGCTCACTCGCGCACAGCAGGAGCTCCAGCCCGGACGCGCGGGCGCCAAGCAACACTGCGTCAACGTGGTCCGTCGTCTCTTCGCCGAGGAGTAGCACACGCTACCACTCCGTGGAGCGGCACGCCTCCTCTCCGGAGCCACGCCCTACGGAAGAACCGCACCCCGCGGAAGAATCACGCCCCGTAGAAGACCAAGAGCCACGGCCCGCCCGCGCGGTGCCCGTCCAGCCCACGGGCGGGACTGTCGCGTCCGAGGGGAGTAGCGGTCTCGACGCGCGGACGCCTGTCTCTGCACGCAGCCTGATCTTCACGCTGAACGAGCAGATCGGGGCGCAGCGTGCACAGCGGGAGGCCGTTCAGGCGAAGGCCGAAGAAAAGGCGGAAGAGCCGCTACTTGGCTCTCGTGGTTCGAGTACCCGTGCTACTCCTGTTTTGTCGCAAGCCGTGCTGCCGCGCGTGCGCACGCCAAAGCCGGAGCAGCTACTTGGGGCGGACAGCGCTCGTGGTACGGTACAGGAGGACAGACAGACGTTGAGAAGTCGTAGCGTCAGCAGGACTAGGACGAGCTATTCCACTCGCCCGACGTACTCCTCTTACGAAGGTGCGTAGACTACCACTGTTATGGACAATCTGACTTGGTACTTACTATGCCCTTCGTTTAGCTGCGCCGACAAGCGAAACGCAGATCGACGCCAGTGCCTTGCCTGGGTCCCACACTTCTGCATCAGCAGATACCTTCCAGACGCCCAAGCCGCGGCTCCAATGGCACTGCAGGGTTTGTCTGCGTCCTCCTACGGACCCCACGGTGACGATGTGCGGACACCTCTTTTGTCACCAGTACGTCTTTCGTATCCCTTTTATAACCGTACTAGGCAGTGACGGCTTTTCTCCACTCCTAGATGCATTGTTGCTGAGATGGCTAAAAATCTGCAGTGTCCTGTATGCAGGACTGTAATGCTGGTACGGCTTGATGTTGTAGCTTCTTGCTGAGCACGACTCGGCTTCTTCTGGCTCGTCTTCTGCTAGTTGTCCACTTATACCCGAGTTCTCGACGTTGTGGCCTCATCGCTGCGTTCACCACATGTACATCGCACTCATGTTTAGAAAAAGATCATTTTCAATACTTATGTTGATGGATTGGACGAGCTCATAAAGGAGTGGTACCATAGTCGAGCTCGAAGCCGGCTAGCAGATTGCTATCTAAGGCCTCAACCACAGCGTCTACTTGGGCTGGCGCTCCCATCGGCAGCCGCTCGGGTTCCGTTTCCGTAAGCGTCTGCCTCGGAGTCTGGGAGACTAGTTCCGTTGCTTCACCCAGGGGGCATCCACGATTCAAATCTACGGTAACAGCTTGCCCGTAGCGCTCATGTGAGCCCCCGCAAACCGCCCTGAGAAAGTCACCGGCTAAGCCAGAGTCGCGAAGGTGCTGAGGCAATATTACTGGGTGAGAAAGCCTGACGACGAGTGCGAGCAGAGTAGGGGAAGACAGTATGCATAGTAAAAACTGTGTATTTCGAAGTGTTCAGTTACTTGGATATTATTCCACATCATGGGCTCACAGTGCGAACTCGGAGTCCTTCACAAGTAGCAGCATGCCCAGAACGCGTTAAGCTCAGAGGTATAACATGGTCTTCTAGGCTAACTATTCGGCCTCCGCTCACACTGTGCAACCCTATCAAAACCTTCAAATGTTGCCGCGCTACCGGGTTAAGCTGTGACAGCAATACTCTCGAGTATTGATTATTGTCTGAAAATGCTGCTTACGCAATAGTCCAAAGCTAGGAAGAAAGATAGCGAAGGCCGAGTATGCGCCGACAGACCTGCAGAGCACCAAGATAACTTAACGGAAGCTGCAATGGAGGGCCGCTCTTGCTCGCCCAGCGAGCAAAAGTGGGCGCCAGCTATGCTTCTTTGATCGAATTACTGTATATGGTATTGTCCCTGAGGACCCCGGGGCTGAGACCACCTAGAGGTAGCTAAGCGGATTGTTTCTATAAGATCTGAATCGTGGATGCCCCCTGGCTTCGATTCACTACGGGCATGAGCTGATTTCAGATCACCTGAAATGTCCTGGTCAAGCCATCAAAACTGTTTCATTTTCGAAGACTTAACCGGGGCTTTCGGGCGTCCCAAAATGATAGATTTGCTACCACTTTCGTAGCCATTTGCAGTGCAGGAACATGATAAATTTTGTGTAGCCTGAAATGAACCTGAAATGACTCAATATGACTACATTTCAGTACAGCAAAGAGTTCATGTTTCAGGAGACTTTGTGGCGCATTTCAGGACATCTGAAAGAACATATGTAGATATCATTTCCGCCTCATGTTTGCAATGAAGAAAGGTCCGGGCAAGGAAAACTTTTGATGGTCCTAAAATTACCATTTACGGCAGATTTGTAGTACATTTCTAGGACGTCTCTGACTTATCTCAAGTAAAAATCTTCTAGCTCATAAAATAGCTTCAAAATTCATCAGAAATGGCAATTTCAGGACCATCAAAAGTTTTCCTTGCCCGGACCTTTCTTCATTGCAAACATGAGGCGGAAATGATATCTACATATGTTCTTTCAGATGTCCTGAAATGCGCCACAAAGTCTCCTGAAACATGAACTCTTTGCTGTACTGAAATGTAGTCATATTGAGTCATTTCAGGTTCATTTCAGGCTACACAAAATTTATCATGTTCCTGCACTGCAAATGGCTACGAAAGTGGTAGCAAATCTATCATTTTGGGACGCCCGAAAGCCCCGGTTAAGTCTTCGAAAATGAAACAGTTTTGATGGCTTGACCAGGACATTTCAGGTGATCTGAAATCAGCTCATGCCCGTAGTGATTGCGACAACGGCAACTATTCACCAACCCCCTGTCACCATCCGTCCCCTGTCACCATCCGTCCCCTGTCACCATCCGTCCCGGCCCTTTTGCCGCTTTCACTACTGCGGTTTTAGGCTGCCCAGCGTAACCACACTTGGACAGTATCTGACACTCCCCGAGAGAGGCCTGTTCTCACGTTCGAGCACTGTGCGAGTCCTCCAATGACCCTGCAACAGAGTCACACTCGATGCCCGGTCTGTGGTGATTGGGTCTCGCACATCAGGATATATGAAGTCCTTCTCTCGCTTGACAGAGTATTAGCCTCCATGGCTAACTGAATCCTACAGCATTGCCTCGATAAGCATCCTGAAGTCTACTGCGAGAAGTGCTCTACCGTGTTCAAATCCACTTCGGTCCTCCAGCGACACTGGAGGGACTCTGATGCCCATCCAAGCTGCGAGCACTGCCCAGCGGCGTTTCCGGACTCAGCCGCGCATTCCAAAGTCCGTGATCAATCCTCCTCTGTACCGCGAATGCTCAGTTGATCATTGCCGCCACAGCACATAGCCTATGCTCATGACGAAATCCTTCCCCGGCCACACGGTCTGCTGTGTGAGTATGACACACTGCCCAACATGAGCACACTCAGACAGTCCAATTCAGCATCCGACGGTCCCTCGAGAGAAGTTATGGCGGTATGCCTTCTCTCACGTTAGAGCATCGTATTCCAATGATCCTGCTACAGCATAACTCTCGCAGCCACACTCAATGCCCGGTTTGCGGGGATTCGGTCACGCACATTGGGATATATGAGGTTCTTCTCTCGCTTGACAAGTATTAGCGACTGGAGCTGACTATATCCGAAAGCATTCCTTCGAAAAGCACCCTGAAGTCTGCTGCGAGAAGTGCTCTACCGTTTTCAAATCCACTTCATGCCTCCAGCAGCACTGGGCAGATTCTGATGCCCATCCGAGCTGCGAATACTGTCCAGCGGCGTGTCCAGACACTGCTATGTATTTCAAGGCTCGTAGTCATCCTTCCCTTGCATCACGAATGCTCAGCTAATCTTTTTTGCTGCAGCATGTAGCTTATGCTCATAGCGAAACCTATACCCGACAACATGGCTCGCCGTTAGAAGCGACTAACACTCACATCTCGGCATCGCCCTTGCAAGAGTCCCACTCGCGGGGCTCCTCCTCTGACAATTCCTTCCGAGCGTCGTCCCCAATGTCCTTTTGCGACCTCTTAGACGTGCCCGAGAAGCCAGACATCACCCAGAGTGCGCGCGAGATTTCAAAGCCTGATGTCTCGGGGCTTCAGAAAGGCCTAGTGAGTTTTCGCAGCTCTCTCGCGATCTCCTCTATACTGATGTCCCTTGAGGTAGGCTCCATTGCCCCTGCTGAACCCGCCGTCGACATCGCTACTTCCACGTGTTCTGCTGTTGACGACACAGTGGGCACGAGTCAGCAGAGAGGGCCGCCTAGACAAAGGTAAGTTCACGTTGGACTTCCAGTAACGCGCGACTTACATAAACACATCAGGAGCCCCAGCCTGGACGCGAGGGTGCCCAGCAACACCGCGTCGGCGTGGTTCATCGTCTCACCGCAGAGTAGTACGCGCTCACACTCCGTGGAACGACACCCCCTCTCTCCAGAGCGTCGCCCTGCAGAAGACTCGCATCTCGCTCGAGCGGTGTCCCACCAGCCCACGGGTGATACCGTCTTGTCCGAGAGCAATAGCCCCGGCGCACCGAGGCCGGTGTCCGTGCACAACGTCAACGTCGCCGCTACCGAGAAGATCTCGACACAGCGCGTCGATAGGTCCAGGACTAGCAGTTTTAAGCCGATACACTCTTCACGCGAGGGTGCACAAAACTCTCCCATTCTGCATGTTTAATCTCGTGCTTACCTGGCTTTGTTCAGCTGTGCCTACAAGCGCGGTGCAGATCGACACCAGCGCATTGCCTGAGTCCAACATTTCTGCATCGGCAGATACCTTCCAGACGCCCGAGCCACAGCTCCAATGGCACTGCAGGGTTTGTCTGCGTCCTCCTACAGACCCCACGGTGACGATATGTGGACACCTCTTCTGTCATCAGTATGTCTTTCGAATTTCCTGTACAGCCGTACTAGACAGTGACCCGGGCTTTTCTCCACTCCCAGATGCATTATTGCTGAGATGGCTGAAAATCTGCGGTGTCCTGTATGCAGGACTGTAATGCTGGTACGGCTTAATGTTGCTTGCTGAGCACGTTTCGGCTTCTTCGAGCGCAGTTCGTCTTTTAGTACTGGTTGCCAGTGTCTGGATTTTCGAGGCTGTGGCCTTATCGCTGTATTCACCCCATGTATACTGCACTTGTTTTAAAGATATATCATGTTCGTTAAGATGTCTCACGCCCAGGTTAACAGATTGAGCGAGATTACAGGGCTTTCGGAGCTGCGACGTAGTCGAGCGTACTAGTAGGACTAACGCGAGTTACAGTCCAGATATCTAACCCTAACCCTACTTTCCCGATCCTGACACTGACGCAGTGACGGTGCATTACGCCAGATTACGCCCGCCCTCCATGACCTTAAACATGTGAAATATAGACAAATTACGTGCCGATATCTTTCCTCGGCACGAGGCAGTGTCTTGGATGCCGCGCCTTGTTCTTCATTTGGCTGTACAGCGCGCTGCGCCAATGCGACTGCAGCAGTGCGTCGGTGCAGTCATTATATCTGTCTCATTGTCAAGGGCCGACCCTCTTCGGTCTTGCTTTCATAGAGTAAAATTGATTTTTTTTTCAAAGTATCATATCCCGTTGACAGATGACTCTCGCTTCTAGAGGCTGCTTGATCAATGCTTTGGCGGTTCCAAGCCGGGGCGTCCTAGTGCAGCGCCCCGTTGTCATGCCCGCAACCAATCATTGCGCGAATATCAAGCCTCGACATCAGCTTCTCATCCGGAAATGCCTACGTAGGCCTCGCCTGGATGATTGCGTTGATGGCCATTTTACACCGCGGGTGACAAGCGCGAGCGACAGCCTGGCGCATGTGCTGCATATAAATACGAGCATGCTTTCGTGATCCCCCAAGGTAGTCTCCTGGCAGCTCCTGCAACAGTGGTGCGGCGTTTGCGCGATGGTGTTTCTCCGAGGTCTCCTGGTTCTGCTCCCCGTACTGGCGACGTCCTTCGCACAGATCAGACGACCGAACGCGAATATCCCCAGGCCTCCTGCCCTGCGTCCCCTGACGGGACTTGACGGGCCTGTCTACCATGTCTCGACAGGCACGGTGCTTCCTCCGCTGAACACCACGTATTACTTCGATCAGCTCATCGACCACACGAACCCAAGCTTAGGCACGTTCAAGCAACGTTACTGGCATACATGGGAATGGTACGAAGAAGGTCAGCGCATTTGACGCGGGATTGCGCGCCAGCAGTGAGTTCTGAAGTATTGCCATACAGGTGGACCGATCATCTTGTTCACCCCTGGTGAAGCAAGCGCCGAAGGCCAGTGGCTGTCTGTGCTCTTGTCGGCACACGCATATATTTAAACTATTAATAGGAGACACTGGGTATCTGGGAAACCGCAGCATCAATGGCCAGCTCGCCCAGCAAGAACACGGCGCCACGATCGTGCTCGAGCATCGTTATTACGGCCTTTCCAATCCATTCTCGGACATGTCGGACAGGAGCCTCAAGTACCACACCATTCAGCAGGCTATAGATGATCTCGAGTATTTCGCCGATAACGTCAAACTGCCAATGCCAGGTGGCGACAACGTTGGCCCCACCGAGGCTCCGTGGGTTCTGATCGGAGGAAGCTACTCTGGAGCACTGACAAGCTGGACCATGGTGAAGTACGTGCTGTCTTTTGCCTTTCATATGTAGTGTTATTACTGACACGCTTATCTTATAGCAAGCCTGGCGTGTTCAGGGCCGGCTACGCATCGTCCGCAGTCGTCGAGGCCATGGTGTACGTATGCCATTATTCATGGGCGCGACAACAGGCTGAACACCTCGGCAATGCAGCGACTTCTGGCAGTATTTCGAGCCGGTTCGCCAGAACATGCCTCAGAACTGCTCGGCGGATGTCGAAGCCGTGATCGCCCACATCGACAACGTCTTCACCTCCGGGAACCAGTCTCAAATCAATCACATTAAAGAGCTCTTCGGCCTCTCTGAGCTGACGCATCTGGACGATGTCGCTGGTGCCCGTAAGCCTCCGGTCTGCAATGGCAAGCAGGATAGCTGCTAATATTGACGCCTTGTGTAGTGCGCTATAACCTCTGGGACTGGCAGAGCCTGGCGCCGGATACAGGCCCCAACAGCACGTTCTTCGAGTTCTGCGATGCGCTCGAGGTCAAGAACGGTACCAGCGCGCCTGTATCCGGCTGGGGAGTTGACCATGCGTTGCCAGCATGGGGTGCATTCTGGACGAACGGCTACTTGGATAATCGTATGTCGCCATCTTTTTATTGCGCGCTTTCCGGCTAACCATGGCCTCTTTAAGTATGTAGTGACAGTATAGCGTGAGTGCCACAGCGCATGTCTATGATTGACCACTTATAAACTCCTCGAACAGTGACTGTCTCGGCACCTATAATATGTCTAACCAGCTGTACACTAACATCTCTATCGGAAACGATAACCGGGCGTGGACATGGATCGTGTAAGTTTCAGGCTTGGTCTGCTACTGAACGGTGGGCTGACACATTTTAGATGTAATAACGTTGGGTGGTACCAGGAAAGCCCGCCTGCTGGTTACCCTAGCGTTGTAACCCAGCTCGTCAAGCCTTCATACGACGAGGTACGTATCTGTTGTGCCGCAAACATCTTCACTCACCCACCGGGACTCTGCAGAGACAATGCGCGTACTTCTTCCCGGAGACGTTCCCGAACGGCTCACTGCCCGTTCCTAACGTCGCGCAGACGAACGTGGCCTACGACGGCTGGGGCGTGCAAGTCAACCAGCTGTTCTTCGCCAACGGCAGGCGTGCGTCTCTCTTTCTCTTGTTAGCCATGCCGGAGACGCTGACGCTAATTTCGCAGGCGACCCGTGGAAGTACGCGACCGTGTCCTCGCCGGACACCTTCGTCCCGAGCACAGCGGAACAGCCCATCGCGCTCAGCGACGGCTTCCACTGCTCGGACTTGGTGACTGCGAACGGCGAAGCCGACGCGACCGTGAAGGCCGTCCAGCAGCAGGGTCTTCAGGCTATACACGGCTGGCTGCAGGGCTTCAAGCCTGCGAAGCGTGAAACTCGCAAGGTGTCGAGGGTCGAGTATGAGAGGGAGATGCTGTGAGGATGGTGTGCGGCTGGTTTCCTCTCTCGAAGCGGTGTTCTTTATTATGGGTATCATGCCTATTTATTCATTTGCTGATCTCAGAGTTGCCGGTGGTTCCTGCTGTATGATGAGCATGACGTTTCAGATGACACTATAGCAGGAAGGCGGGTCAGCGTTTGTCGCAGTGGTCCATCTGGCGTACCTACCATGGCTCGAGTTTGCTTGGTGACAGCGAACTGTTCGGCGGCCCAAGATCTAGGTATGACCTTAGTATTGCCTTTCATATGAAGGACAGTACGTGACCAAGATCGTGCGCGGCGTTCTATGCTTAATCAATTTTGGCTTACCCGCCTGAGCGCAGCCGACAACCTGCAACGCATGAGCATGGAGTACAAGCTATACTGACTTCGTCTCATACTAATGTAGTGAGAGTATCCCTTGCTTGAGGGTGCGAGCCTGACGAAATGTAGCTCAGAATACGAATGGAAAGCCTCGGCGGAGTCGATAATACCGAAATCTATGTCGTGATGCCGTTCAACTTACAGCATGTGTAGACACGCGCTCCCCGCGCCATGAAGTATCTTATCAACGCAGCCCTATCCTGACAAATTTGTACAATATACAACCGTTCAACAAGCACAGACTATTACTACAACAACGAATGGTGACAGCTAATGCGTACATTTGTAGTGAGCGCGCATACAAAATGGCTCAAGAATATCCCTAATCTGCCTCCTGCCCCAATACTCCTGCGGATCCTGCTCGCTATCATCATCGCTACCCTCCTCGGGTTGCTCGTAGCTGTGGAGATACTGCGCGCGTATGCGCTGGATCATCTCCTCGGCTCTCGCCTCGGCCTCTGTGCGGATGCGTTCGCCGTATCCGCCATCGAGCACGGGCTCCGCGGTGTCCCAGTCGGGCTCCTTGCCGCGCCAGCCGCCCTTCTGGTGGACGAAGTTGAGCCACTCGCGCCACATTGGGTCCATGCTCAGCGTCCGAGGGTTGCCGACGACGACAAGGAGACTCCGAGCGCGGGTGATAGCGACTGCAGGAAGGACGGGTCAGCATGTGCCACGGCGATCTGTGCAACGGATACGTGCCGTTGAATCGCTTGGGGTCGGCGACGAAGCCGAGCGTATGCTTCATATCATAGGGGATGTAATCCGTGCTGCTGCGTACCGTCATAATAATAATCACCCGTCGTTCCTGGCCAGCCAGTAGGTTGAATGACAAGTCATATTGAGGAGTTTAACAGCATACCTGGCCCTGGAATTCTTCCACACTGCCCACCTTGACCTCCTTGAACTTCTGGGGAAGCACGCTTCGCATCTTTTGGCACTGAGCATGGTAAGGCGCAATGATCCCAACGTCCTTGGCGGCTAGAAGCGTTCGACTCGACTTCAGGCTTATTCTTTGAGATAGATGGGGAATATACGTACTGATACGCAGCTTCCGATTTTCCAAGAGAGAGACAAGGTAGTCCTTGGCGATCGTGATCTCGTCAATGTTGAAGAACGATGGCGACGACGCCTCTCGCTGGTCTTTGCCTACGGTGCCGTGGAATACGATAGGGAAGTTCTTAGCCGGCAGTTTCTCGTACTTGAGCAGGCTGTGCGTGACAGCCGGATCCGCGCATGGTAGCAGCTCTCCGCCATAGAATTGGCGGTTCGGGAATGTCAGAATATCAGGGTGAGAGCGGAAGTGCTTCACTAGCTTCGTGACCCTAGGCAGAGAAATGAGCGCAGGCCCATCTCGAGCGCATTCACTCACGTTTGGCCCTTATGCGTCTTTTCGTCGTAGATCGGCATATTCATGAGGCGCTGAAGGTAGCTCTGCTTGAGTCCTAGGTCACGAGCGATCGGCGAGTGAACGATGGGGTTCAGCTGTCTGATGTCCCCTGCCGGAACGACATTGGTTTCGTCATCTGCAAGAGTCTTGATGGGGATCATAGACATTGGCTCCGATGCTTGCCCAGCTTCGTCAAGGAAAATATGCGTAAAGTGTCCGCGCTTGACGCCAATCCCGTGAGGTGTTCCGGCCGAAATGCACGTAGAGACGATGACCCGGTAAGTCAGGAATTTCTCCAGAGACGGGATCGCGAACACGTGATTGTCATTGTACAACGAGAAATCGGTTAGAACAGGTGTTCCCTCGGCCAATGATTTATATGAACGCGAGTATGAGTTTAATCGGAAGAGCTCGTTCGGGTTGAGTGGATTGTATGCTAGACGTACGGCGATGAGATCCGCTGCAGCATTAGAAGGTGCACAGGCAAGGATCCTTGCATCGGGATCCGCAGTCAGTATCTGTCGTATGGCCTCTACAATCGTGACGGTCTTTCCAGTGCCCGGGCTATGTTACGGCTTCAGCGAAGTAGGCACATTTTTCAATATATCAACAGCTTACGGGCCAAACACAATAAATGGAACACTCCCAGGAGGACGATTCACGACAGCGGCAATTGTCTCAAGCTGCTCTCGGTTCTTCGAGAGCGCTCGATCCACAAGAGCTATGCTTTCCATTTCGCAATCGCTGGGTCTCCGTAGGTAACGAGTATGTTCTGAGCGAGGAAACAGTAGCCGCGGCGGATTAAACGACGAAGACACGGCCTGATGCATTCTACGATCGGGAAGGCGATTAAGGAGGAATTTGACGTCAACCTTGGCGCCCCGATAGGCATTGAACTTGTCGTTGAATCGCAGGCGCACTGAGAAACCACTGATTTGGTGGACACAGCCTTCGTACCAGGTATCCGTCTCATCGCCCGAATGCTTTACCATGATCAAGTCACCAACTATCACGGGTGGTCTACCTTCACCCAGTTCTTTCACTTCTAGTCTGCAATGAACGTCAATAGGTATTGCTTTAGAACAGCAGGGAAGATGTAATATACATACTCATAGTCCGGATGATGCGGAATAAGGGCAACATTGGTCATCGCGTATACCGCAAGGTTACGCCTTTGAAGCGCATGAGAAAGAAGGTAGGCCATATTCAAGGCAACACACACCGCATCTGTTCTTCCTCTATCCACAACAAGGCCTGAAAGAACACGGAATAAGTCTCCAGGCTTAAGTGCGGAACGTACTGCCTGAGTGCGGCTTTCGGATGAGGGCCAAAAGCGGCTTCGATGATATCTTCCGGAGGCCTGTACTCGGGCAGAGTGACCTTCCATTTGGTATAGCTCCAGACCGAAGGCCGCGTAACACGGATAACGCGCCTCGGCTTTCTGTATGCAGCCTTCGGCTGGGCTTTCGAGTACGGTGCTGTCGGTTTAAGCCGCTCGTGGTCGTCTGGCGAGCCAACGACGACTCGAATTTGCCTTGTGATAACGAACTGTTCTGCAGTTCTCGATCCTGGTATGACCTTGCGGAATGTAAAGTCAAGTGTATATTCGTGTTGTCCTTCGAACGAGAACTTCAGCTCGAACGAAACTGCGTGCTTCGTGCCCCGCTCGATGGATTTTTGCATGTTCATCAGCGAAGCTGACGACCTGCAGCACGTGAGCCACAATAAGGCGGAGTGAAGGCACCACTAACTTCGACCGAGAATTATCTCCCTCGAGCCTGGTAGAAAGTAGTGTTATCTTGGCGCTAGATTCGTCAGTTCTGCTCAGCTCCATGACCGCTTTGAGCGAAAAATCGGGATGGAGCCTCGGCGGGATCAATAATACCAAGGTCTATGCCGCCCTTGCCTGAGATCGAAATTCCATTCTTGTCCTTTTCGGCTTCTGCCAGGGCCGCGTTGATAGCTGCGCGCTGCTGATGGCTGGTATGGCGCGTCGCATGAGCTACCCAGACATCGACGTGGATGTCCTTGCGGCAAATATCGCACTGAATGTAACCGGGGGCAGCAGGGGTACCAGTGACTCGTGTAGGAGAAGCCGCTTGTGTGAACTGCTGACGAGGGGCCAGCGCGAGAGCTTCCTGGTGTCCTGTGGACCGCTGATGCCTGCTGAATTCTGCTCCTGTGGGGAAGTCTAAGTAGCAAACATCACATCTCGTCGGATCCCCTAAGTTGCAACTGAGATAATGCTGCGACGAATGGACTGGCATATCTGACCTGTGGCGGGCTCAAGCGCATAATTCTCTGCAGCAAGCATCCTCCGTCGGTGCCGTCTCCCGCTCAAGTGCGTTTTGAAGTTCCCCGGCAGCATCCAGAGGCCACATACGCATTGTCGCAGGACGGGCATTCTCAGTTCCTCCTCAAGAACGCGGCAGCGCCCAAGGTGGTCGTCACGGACAAGCCACAGCGAAAATTTAACTTAGCGCTCGCATACTCAGATGTCTTTGTCATCCGTGTGGGAGTCGGTAATAACCATGCGCACATTATTCCTGTCTGCGGCCAAATGAGTGTTAAGGCAATGCACATACCTCGTGAGGCTGCCGCAACTCGCTTGTCCGTGACGTGCTCAGCAGGGGGGGAGATGCTGTCAGATTGTACAAAGTACTACTACGCTTACAAAGGCAGGCATTCCCTCTGGAGCCACGCTAGGGCCCGAGGATCGTGCTGCAGAAGCGGTGAGACCTTATCCAGGACTGTGGCATGGTATCGGTTCAGCCAAGTCCGTTCAGAATCTGTCAGAAGCGAAGTGTCCACGAGGTTCTTATGAATAGGGCACTGTAGGAACAGACGGGAGGGTGTCAGTCAAGAGAACCGGGAGAACGCAGCGTACATACCATAGTCAGGTTCTCGAAGCCTAAGAAGCCCTTGTTGCCGAAATTGTTGGGGGTCTCCGCCTCCCGAACGATAACAACATTCTCTATGCGGATGCCGAAGCGCCCGTCCGCGTAGAAGCCAGGTTCTGCATAGCTGTCAATCAACAAATCCCAATTCTCAGGCGCGAATGCGGACCAACCATTAGACACGGTCATACCGGCTTTCAAGGGCGTGCTGTTGTACGCTAGTGAATAACTTCAGTATACACCGTCAAAGTGCGGGCTGCGGAGACTCACCAATGCGCACACCAATACCTTGCGGTCCCTCATGGACATTTAAAAAGTGTCCTGGGAAAGTAGTATGAGTTACAGCGGGTAAGGGCTGGTGTAGCGGATACATACCGACACCGTGACCAGTGCCATGTCTTCATACATTCCTCAGATTAGTATCCTGTTACGCCTCACGCGATGCAGTTTCATACCGGAAGTCTATACCATCATAAGTATAATCTGGCGTCCAAGTCTTAGTTAGGCACTCACCAAGTCCATCTTCCCATAGCGGCCTCCGTGCAAATGAGTCACTGTCCAACTCGTTCAGCTATCGCTGAGGTATCAACATCGCATCGCTTACATGATGTAGCCTATATGTCAGACTTGGAAAGCGGCTTTTGATTAGAGCTTGTCTCAAATGGACTTACCGGATGTACCGTTAGGGAAGACCGCGATATGAATAGCGATGTGTCCTTGGAGCACACGAGTGAAGGCACGCTTTTCCTCAGCCGTCGGATTTCCAAAGTGCTTCACGGTGGTCAGCTATGCTTGAGACCACTGCTGAAGAAGCGCCTCACCCATGTCCGTGTCACATCGGTCGTGCCATCCAGGTACTGCCCTCCGGAATCACAGAGGTACACTTGGTCTTTGCGGATGACGGCACAATCGCTGGGATCTGGCATATAGTGAATGATGGCAGCATTAGGTCCTGTCGATGAGATGGTCGTGAAAGAAAGGCCTTTGAACGAGTCAAGCTCTCTGGAATTATAAATTATTACTCGCGATCTCAACTAGAAAAGCTGGCATGCGTTCTTACGATCTATATTTCTCGAGTTGATCAGCTGCTTGGCTCTCGTTCAACTCGATACCATGGTTTAGCTGCTCCTCCAGCCAGGCGAAATAGCGAGCGAGAGCGACACCGTCCCGAATGTGCGATTGTCTGAAGCCTGTGGCAATGGGTCAGTAATGACCTTGGGAACACCTGACACCTGGCTCGCCTTCGATCTCCGTAGGGTTCTTGATAGACTTCATATCTGCTACAGGCGACCTAGCGATAACGACATTCTCCTTCACGATACGAGAGTCGATCTACCCGTCAGCCAACCAAGCCCCTACTGAATAGATTGCTTATTCACACATGTGGACACGTACGTTTCCTATTGCCTCGGCTATAGCCAAACTAGTTTTGTCCCCCAACAACACTTGCTGCAAGTATCGCGTCAAGACGAGGAGAGACGGTGCAATTGCATATAGACGTACCGACTGCTTGCTGAGCTCAAGTGCAGCGCCGAGTCCACTTAGGTAGTGGAAAAACTCGTCATACGGCTGGAGTTCGACACCATCGCCAAGGTGGCTACGGACGATGTCATTAACCTGATCGGGATTAATGAATAAGACTGCTTTATCCTGGGTGACCACCGAGTACGCGAAGAAGACCGGATTGAAGTCGATGTCGGAGCCGCGGAGGTTGTATAGCCAAGCAACTTCGTCCAGCATGTTCACGATCATGGCCTTGTATTTCTTCTTCTTCAGCTCATCCTGCAGGCGTCTGATCTTTTCCGTGTGGGGTTCACCTGTAAGGGGATGTCAGAGGTGAGCCGTGCGGGAAGGCATAGGCCTTACGCACCGGAATATTTTACATCAAGGGGAAATACTCCGTTCGCTGGCCTATGTGGCCTATCCTCCCACACAAGATCCACCAGGTTCTGCGTCAGCGATACCAGTTGCGACTCTTTCTCCTTGAGTGAGGTCTGCAGACTTTCAGCATCCGCTGGGTCTGAGTCAATACCACAAGAACTATACAGAAGCGCAGATGGACGTACACGCAAGGATAACTGCTGGGTCGATGCCAATGCGAGTGTGCGAGTCCAGGTTCTAATTATTGTGAGCATACATGTCGAAGTTAGCAGTGGTGGGGAAGTAAAGACCTTGTTTAAGAATTCTTGCCAAGTTGGAACATCTGAGACAGATCATCAGAGCGGTCGCTGGCGGCTAGCTGCTGTGTGCATACCAGGGAGACCCTGCTTCATCAACGTCCAGTTCCTGCGATCTCATCTTAGGTCCATGCCTTCAGCACGCAAAACTACACACGCACTGATCGAGTTGCTTCTCCGCCTGCAAGAAGTAGCGGCCATCTGTAAAGAGGAACGCTTCCTTGTCCGTAATGACTGCACATCCTGAGCGACGAGGTCAAATGAATGGTTTGGTGAGTCGTGTCAGACTAGTGCTCGCACCTGCAGATCCGGTAAACCCAGAAATGTATGCCCGACGCTCGTCGCAAGCGGCGCTGTATTCGCTCGAGTCTGCGTGGATAACGCTTTCCAGTATATTGCATCGTGTGTGGTGTGGCACACGTACGTGAATCCTCGCTAGGAACGACATACGCGTTCACATCGTTCTCGGGCTTTCGCATCAGCTCTCGCAGCTTCTCGAGCCTTTGAGTTGTGTTGATCCTCTGTGCCGTAAGTGCACCCATCGTTTCTATCGAGCGGGACTGAAACCAGGATGAATTTGCGAAGGGCCAACGCTGACAGCGTCGGAGAGAGAGGAGACCTGCAACAGCACGACTGAACACGTGCATGTCGGTTTGGGTCACAAGCCCACCCGATCACAGAGCGTTTCTCAGGGAATTAATACATTGCTTTCCGCTTTGGTACCGCCACATTCGCAAGTTACAAGTCGAGAGTCGAGAGAAAGCGAAAGGCGAAAGAGGCAGGGAAAGGCTAAAATTCTCGTGTCTAGAGTTGGTACGGCGCGAAACAGGAGTAGGTAGTAGGTAGTCGCTTCTACGCGGGATAAAATATCGTAGCTAGGGTAATACGAGACCGCACGGCAGGCCTCTGTGGTAACTCCACCGCTAAGCAAGAGGCCTGAGGCGATAACACGCAACAACCTCAGACTATTAGAAGCAGCTCTTCTGAAAGGTGTGATAGGCTCCAGCGGCCGTCTGCCTAGCCGTGTAAAGGTGGTGCGTCACGTATCGTTTACTACCGCATCGTAGCATTCGCACTTGACCCAGAGTCAGCGACAGGTGACACTTGACGACAAGGCTACTCACCGGTTGCGCATGGCTAATGTATGCACCTCCAGCTTCTTCTTCAGGGTATCGTTCTCCTTTGGATCCGTGCACTGAATGATGTCTATCATCTCCCTTGCAAGCCGTTCCTCCAGCTTGTGTTCGGGTCGCTTGTTACTTGATTCAAGAATCCACTGGATCGCATATCGTGTTCGTTGTTTTTCGCCAAGGGCAATGGGCTTAAATAGCCTTTTGGTACCGTGAACCATTGTAACGTTCTTACAGGCAGGCGCAGCATCCAGAACCGCTCGACGGACAACAGGCAGCGGGGGCACGCGAGTGAGAGTGTGGATATGCAAGAGCATCCTGGCAACGATACCAGCTGCTTTCTTGCGCTCTCCATGCTTTTGTATGACAGAGGTCATGTAGTGCAACAGTGGGTCCTCTTCCGGCGGAATCAACATAAGTGGTGGCTGGTCATTCTTGAGGTATGCCGCGAGCGGTGATGCTGCAGGCGTAGGTGTCGGTGCCGTAAGAGGCTGCTGGAAGGCTGACTTTTGTCCAGCGACAGAACCGACGACTCCGAGAGCTTCGTTCACGAGGGAAGCATCGTTAGGCGTTGTGGTGACTGAGCGAGCTGACTGTCTGACTGTATTAGTGGCTGCTCTTCGCAATAAAACTAGCATCTCTGCGTAGAACATTTGAGGTGTTCAGCGAAGGCACAAGAAATCATGCTGGAACGAACCTGTTGGATGTGTGAACGAAGGTGAAGTGCGGGACTACTGACTTCCGTCGCACGGCGCTCGTAAATCGGGACCCCGAACAGTGCCAGCCGGCAGGATTACACCAGCTTTCAACGTTACCTTCATCGCCGCTGCCGTCTTTACGACCTTGTCCAGTCTCTCTTTGCCTTAGTTCTTCCTCCTGCCACTCGGACCTCCGTGTGACGTACGGCGGCTACTTACATCTCTACATCCTCTGGCATGACACTCGACGACAAATACATCGGCCTCTTACTCGCCTTCTCTGGTTCAATCGCCATTGGAACTAGTTTTATCATCACTAAGAAGGTACGGCACTCGTTGGATGCTCGTCAGTGTCTAGGCCTGACTGAAGCTATCGTCCCCGTAGGGTCTGAATGAGGCTGGTGAGCGGTCGACGTATGCCAACGCATCAGACAACTATCTATACCTTAAAAATCCGATATGGTGGGCTGGAATGGCGATAAGTGTGTCTCCATAATTTGCTCCATGTATCTTGGAAGCTAACAAACCATTAGTGGTTCTTGGTGAAGGTAACACAACTTGCGCGTAAGCTGTACGAGCTATGCGGCTGCGCGCTCTAGGCCCTCAAATGCAAGCTAACCCAGCCATCAGTCGCGAATTTCGCTGCGTATACGTTTGCTCCTCCAATATTAATCACCCCACTTGGTGCACTCAGTGTAATCATCGGGTATGTTTCTCTCGACCGCGCAGCTAACCGCCGCTGAGACCACCGCACTGTCAGAGCGATTCTCGCTTCTTTCCTTCTCGGAGAGGAACTTGGCCACCTCGGTCGCGTTGGATGCACACTCTGTCTGCTTGGATCCCTCATCATCGTTCTTCATGCGCCAGACGACAAGGATGTACAAACTGTGGATGAAATATTGCACTATGCTGTTCAACCCGGTGCGTTCAGCCCTCCGCCACGTATTCAGTGATGTCTAATTCTTGCGTGCATAGGCTTTATGATGTACTGCTTTACTGTTCTCGTCTTCTGCCTTGTGATGATCTACGGGGTCGTCCCCCACTATGGTCGCACGAATCCCTTGGTGTACATTTCTATTTGCTCTCTTGCGGGTTCAATTTCTATCATGGCTATCAAGGGCTTTGGCATTGCTCTGAAGCTCACACTATCTGGCAACAACCAATTCACACATCCCAGTACATATGTTTTTGCCATCGTCACCGCGGGCTGCATCATGGTCCAGATGAATTACTTCAACAAGGCTCTGGATGTCTTCTCCACCAACGTGTACGTGGCTTCACCTCCGCCTTCTGCGAATATTCTCACGTTCACGTAGTGTGAACCCGATTTACTATGTCGGCTTCTCGACGGCAACACTTGTCGCCTCCGTGATAATGTTCCAAGGATTCAATACAGACAACCCGGTGAACTCGATTTCTCTCCTCGCCGGTTTTGTCATCACCTTTCTCGGCGTACACCTCCTCGAAATCTCACGGAAGCCGGCAAATTACCACACCGCGAACGTACATTCGGCCCTTGAGGGTGGCCTTATGAACCCGAGACTGAGCATTTCGGGGCGGATGTCAATAGACGGCTGGGATGGCGCGGCGGGCACGCCCATCGGTAGTGTGCCCCCACGCTCGGCCCCGGGGCATCTACGCCGCAGCTTGGGGCAGCGCCAGGGCGCTTCGACGCTCTTTGACGCGTTCGAAGAAGAAGACGACGGCGCGGACAGCGTGGGGCTGGAACGTCTGCCCGAAGTGGAGGAGGATTCCGATGACGAGGTCGATGAGCGGACTCGACTGCGTTCGGACGGGCTCCAGCACCACAGAGAGGGTTCGAGGAGTGCGAGTGGGTCGCCGGCCGTCGACTCGCGCAGAACGATGCGGTAGAACGCCTGTATACCTCCTAGGCCTGTCGTTCAAAATGGACCTATATCGTAGATTGGGATAGTATTTTTATTTGATGCATAATTTGTACGCATATATGCGCACGATTGGCTCGAAAAGATGAGGGCTCGTTAGCACGCATAGAGAAGTGAAGGGTTGCTACCATTGGTTAGCGCCTTCCATGCGCTTGTAACTCTGTCTTGCACCATCTTGCCTACGCCTGTTCATTGGAGGGTTCCCTGCGGCAGCCTCCCAGCACCCATCGTCAATGAACGAGTGTAACGGACCCCCCCACTAGCCGCCTATATATTCGCTCTCACCATATCTCGGATGTGTTGAGCATCCACCCATCCCGTTTTTTCTCGGCCCCTAAACTTCAGCTCAGTTGTTGCATCCTGCGTTAACTCGGGGGTATGTCGTCTGGAACGGAGCAACTAAGTGAGCGGCATGACGTTGTCGATGCTAATGAGCGGGCGGGGTGCGCAATGTGACCCATCGGCCTCGAGTGTCAGTCAGATAGGTCAGTCGTGAACAGCATCCGTCCATGTTGGCTCCTCTAAGAGCTTAGGTCAGGTTACGACTAGTCCATGCGTTCGTGATGTAAGAAGCATAAGAAGCATAGGAGCATCTGCGTCAGCGGGAAAAGCCATATGGTGCGTCGAGATAGAAGCTGTGCTATGCGCAACGTAAGCTCGCAAACTCCTTGCTGCGGTATGCATTCCGGCATCGCATGCCCTCTCCTTGTATGCTGAACCCTTGACAGCTCGGACAAGTGCTTGCTTCCGATTGTATTTCTTGACAGGGCTGCTGACAGACCCTTGGCGAAGCGCAGTGGACTCCATGCGGCTGGCAGCTCAGCGATTCTTCCGGCATTGAGAAGCATGGCTGTCATACCATATAAGATGGCAGGCCTCCTACATCCGCCATCGTTGAGACTCGTCGACTTGTGGAGACAAACTCACGATGTTGTCCCAGTTCTGGGGTTTCTCGATCCTCGGCGCTTTATCACTGCAAGCATTCGCCGGCCAAATCCCTGTCATAGACGGCATCATTGGCGGCGTGTCGTCTTCGGAATCAACTCTGCGCGTTGATGCAGCTGCCAGCCCTGCGGCCACAACCCCTGGCAAGCTCAGGGTGATCGAAAACAGTGGCGTCTGCGAAACGACCCCCGGAGTATACCAGGCATCGGGTTACGGAGACCTTACCTCGTCCGAAAGCATCTGGTAAGTATGGAGTGGTCGGTTATGCTTACGATGTGCTCACTGCATCGGACTCCGCTCGCAGGTTCTGGTTCTTCGAGGCACGCCAGAACTCAGGCACGGCACCGCTCGCGATCTGGTTAAACGGCGGAGTGGGTGCTCACCTTACCGTCCCTGTCAGGATCAACGCTAACACATTGATAGCCTGGCAGCTCAAGTATGCTCGGGCTGTTTCAGGAGAACGGACCATGTCGTATCAGCAACGACAGTGAGAGTGTCAGCCTCAATCCGAATTCGTGGAACAACGTAGCGAACATGTCCGTGGCTCGCGTCTGTGACCTGCCCCTGAGATACTCACGTAATGCTGTCCAGACTCTACATTGATCAACCCGTCGGTGTCGGTTTCTCCTACGGAACTACTACCGTCGGCACGTCGCAGCAAGCTGCGTCCGATATCTGGAATGTGAGTAATTCCGTTGTGACCGGTACCTCGTACTTATACAACATGGCGCTTCAGTTCCTGCAGATCTGGTTCGCTGATTCGCGCTTCAGCAAGTATGCTACGAGAGAATTTGCCGTTTGGACTGAATCTTACGGAGGACACTACGGCCCAACCTTCGCTGCGTGAGTCACTTATTCCTGGAGCGGCAGTCAACCCAAGCACGCAAAGACGAAGCTGAGAACGTACCTACCTAGCTACTTTCTGCAGCAGAATGCGGCCATCGCGGCCGGCACGCTGCAGGGCGTCTCGATCAATTTGAAGGTTCTGGGTGTTGGTGATGGGCTCACGGTATGTTCAAGCCGCTAACAATTTGCTGGTCGTACTAACGTGCCTCTCATTAGGATCCTTTGTCGCAGTACCCCGGGTATCTCACTTATGCAGCGTCAAATCCGTAAGTGTTTCATGGAGATGTTCGACGGCCAGGCGCTGACGTCGGCCGTAGGTACCACCCTCTAGTGTCCTCGTCCACTCTAAGCACCGCGAACAACTCTTTTTATCGCTCAGGAGGTTGTCGCGACCAGATTCAGTCCTGCTATGACACCGGCTCTACCAAGACGTGCTCCAACGCTCAGTCGTTCTGCAACAACGACATTCTCAGTCCGCTTGCTGGAGACTATGACGTGTACTATGTGCTGGCAACGAACCCAGATCCGTACCCTCCGGATCTGACCCCTTATCTGACAAACTCCACGCTCGTGTCGAAAATTGGTGCCAATAGCACATGGCAGCAGACCAGCGACCAAGTATACAATAATTTCGCGAAGACCGGCGACTGGATGCATAATTCGGCGCCGGACCTGGAGACGGTTATCAACTCTGGAGTCAGAACCATTATCTACGATGGGGACGCGGTAAGCTATGCCTGTCCTCTCCTGTCACTCGGTCCCTGACAAGAGAACGCTTTAGGATTACATCCTGAATTTCAATGGAGTCGAAGCCATGGTAGGGCTTCTCCTCTTCCATACTGTGCTTCTCGCATTAACCTCGTCTTAGATCAACAATCTCAAGACGCAGTTCTCGACAGAGTTCGCGCAGACCGCCTTCTCTAATTTCACGGTCGCGGGCCAAGCTGCTGGAATTTATAAGAACGCCGGCACCTTCTCATACGTCCGTATATTTGGCGCGTAAGTCTGTCACCACAAATAGAGCATGAACGGACCTTAATTATGACCGCCACGTTTTACATAGGGGGCATGAAGTTCCTGCGTACACTCATGGAACACTAAGCCGCGGACAAGCTGCGCTGCAATTCTTCTCACAAATCATGAGCGGCCATGGTCTCTCCTCGACGTGAAATTTTCAGTGGTCGCAATGCACAGCTCGAATTAGATTATGTCCGTTGTCGCTGTCGTGGCAATATCTACCCCCAGTGTGTAACTCTCAGCCGTTGAATTTGACTAGCCTGCACCTCGCTATCGTGAAGGTTTGCTGTTTCGTGGCGAATATTCCCAAGGTTGCCTTGATGCGACCGCTGAATCCTTGATGTACTCCTTGCTGCGGTGGATAGCCTGGGTCGTGAGTGTAATGCCTTGGTGATTGGGCTCGCGCTAAAATAAATCGGCATTCTCCAGGGTATGGCGCCGAATTATACACAGGTCCGATATGGCTGGTACACTGGCTTGCGTGCCAGCGATGCGCCACCTACATGAATCAAATCATGGGAACTGTCGAATGACGTGCGGACATGTCTCATGGGAGCCGGTAGCGATTTGCTCGGTATCGGCCTGCGAACCCCAGCCATGGGTTTTCGGAGCAAGGGCGGCAAACAGTGCTCGCCAAGATGCACATCGAACGCTAGCTTCTACGGAGATTAGATCCTCTATGAATGTATAAAAGCCCGACAGGTCACTGTCCCGTATCCCCAACCTGCCTCGACTCAACACGCGATGTCTTGCAACAACCTCCAGTACACCCCTCTCAGCGAGATCCCGGAAGTCAGCCAAGTGCTCATTTTCGTCCTTTCATCGCGCCTGCTGACAACGACTATTCTTGTAGATCTATGCTCGCGTCACTAAGACGTTCAAGGCTGGTACTACCAGGCCTTTGAGTTACCGACGCCATCAGTTGCTGCAGCTCGCGCGTATGATGCAGGAGAACATCGTCACAATCGAGGATGCGCTATTGGCAGACCTCGGCAAGCAGCGACAAGAGTCCACCGTCACAGAACTTACGCCCATTATCCAGGGCAGTATCAACGCTGCTGAGAGCTTGGAGGAGTGGGCGAAGCCTGAGAAGCCCAAGGTCGAGGCGTGGAGAAGCTCGTGGGACACCACGATCTATCATGTGCCCAAGGGCGTTGTATTGCTCATCTCGTGAGTAGAAGCCCGATTGCTTGATCCGTACTAGTTCGCTCATATACAATCGCTTGTGCCTCAATTGTTCTCAGGCCCTGGAATTACCCGATCATCTTGACATTCCTTGGGCTCATCGGTGCCATAGCCGCAGGGTGTCCTACCGTCATCAAGCCGTCGGAGTGCACGCCAACGGTTGCCGCCGTTATGGCTGATTTGGTGCCCAAGTACCTCGACCCCGCTGCCTACGCGGTCGTGAACGGTGCCGTGGAAGAGACCAAGATGCTCCTTGACCTGCAGTGGGGGCACATCTTCTTCACCGGTAGCACGAGGATTGGTCGCATCGTCGCCACAGCTGCAGCTAAATATGTCACTCCCGTGACACTAGAACTCGGTGGCAAGAGCCCCGTGATCGTCTCGCCCGACTATGACCTGGAGCTTGCCGCTAAGCGCATACTTTACGGCAAGGTTCAGAATGTTGGTCAAGTGAGCACTTTCCGTCACTTCCCCGACGCTGCCTTCTGATATTCGCAAACTCTGTTAGCTCTGCGTCTCGCCCGACTATGTTCTCGTGCCACGGTCGGTCTATAAGCCGTTCGTAGAGGCGCTAAAGAAGACATACGCTTCCTTCTTCCCCACCGATCCGCTTGACAAGGAGTCGAAGTGGGGCAAGATCGTGAACGAGCCCAATTACAGGCGCGTCAAGGGTCTCATCGAGGAGACCAAGGGCGACGTCATACTGGGTGGCAAGTGGGACGACACCAGGCTGAGGGTTGCCCTCACCGTCGTTAGCGAGGTGAAGCTTAACGATCCGTTGATGGAAGAGTAAGCTCTCTTGGCGCCTTGACACATCCCCGCGTCTCATCACACCTCATCATTCAGGGAGCTGTTCGGCCCAATCCTCCCCATTGTTGAGGTTGAGGACGTTGATGAGGCTGTCCAGATCGTCGCTGATAGGTACGTAGCTTGATGACCGTAGGCTGTGCCCACTAAGACCCCATGTGCCAGGCCATACCCACTGGTCATCTACACGTTCAGCAACAGCAATGAGGTCAAGGAGAAGAGTATGTGTTCTGACCGTTGTCGTGTGATTTGCTCTGACAAGGAGATGCAGTCACGAATCGTACCAACAGCGGCACCTTCGTTTTCAACGACACTCAAATGCAGCTTGCAGGTGGGTCTTTAAAGTTCACGCTACGTAATGACGCTCAGGCTCAATGTGACCCAGTTCACGAAATTCCCTTCGGAGGACATGGCGAATCAGGCTGTGAGTGAACATCCCGCCACTTCACGAGGCTCGTGACTGATGGCTTCTGATGCAGATGGCGGCTACATGGGCAAGGACAGCTACAACATCTTCACGCACCGCCGGGGATATATCAATGTCCCGACCGAGTAAGGACCCAATTTACTGCATAGAGGGTCACGATACTGATCTCGGCTATAGGATGGAACCGTTCTACGCCTACCGCTATCTGCCCTATAGCGAAGAGAGCTACAAGGTCATGACTCAAGGCGCTCGCGTCAAGATACCGGAGGCCTAAAAAGATGATTTACCTTCCATAAATGACGGGTCATTGCGCCGCTGTGAGTTGCACTGCTGGACTCGGACTGTCACATGCTCTCCTTGCTATATTGTGCTTTTGTATTACATTTGACTAATCGTTTTATGTCGGGAGTCTTGGCGTGTTTGTATGTACTTTTCCCGGTGGCCTGGTATGTTGTAGAATTGGGAAATCTATATAAATGACTTTCTCAAACTGTTCTTCATGTTACTAGACCCTGGCATCGCACCACTGGATGCACGAGAGTCGCAGAGTAGGATATTGCACCCGCTACCAACCTCGCGGCGCCGAGAGCCGACTAATGGCGTGGCATCAGATAGTACTATTCAGCATGCTCAGGCTCGGGCTTGAAGTACATTGCTTGTGCTCTCCACCGAGGAACTCTCGTTCTTTATGGGTCAGAGACAAAACCTGGGCAAAACGGGCATTCTGATACCTTTATTCTCAGCGTCGTTATGTTCACATGACCGCGGGATTGATCAGAACCTTGCTGGGGCGCGATATAATCCAGGGATGACCGCATATGGGGCCCTAGGTGTACTCTTTCACTGCCATGGTGTCCTTCCGGTGCACGAGTTGCGATGCACGTTTCAGCACGACCCCCTTGCTCACGAAGCATGCAGCGAGTGCAGGTCATAAACCGTTCAGATGTTGTGAAGCCTCTTGCAGGATATCTCCTGCATCTGACGGCCTTTGTGCATATCTCTCCTTTTCGTCGGAAGCCGACCTCGACAAGGTACGCTTCGATTGCGAGCTCTGAGCGGCTTCTCAACCTGGGATGGTAGCATTTGAGGAAGAGCCACGGTGAGAAGTTCAAGGGCACTGCTTTTCGTTGCCCCGCCGGAGCCTGTTCCAGCGGATTCGCCGCGGAGTTCCGGCTTCTTTCGGTGAGATTCTTCCTTCGTGCAACTAGGGGTCGCTGACGTTTGTCTAATACTTACACTGTAGCACTTTCAAAGCAAGCATAAAAAGCTCTCGATCCACGTTTGCCGCGTCTGCCCGACGGCTTTTCTCGCTGAAGGGGAGCTTCGTCGTCATGTCACGGATTATCACACCGGCATGCTATCGGTACGCCTACTTTATATATCATCGTCCTGTATTTCAGCTGATGTGATTTGGGCTGAATAATTAGTCTGCTAATGTAAATGGTGGAGCCGTTGCACTTGCGAGTGCTGTTGACCGTAAGCTTGAATCCTCCGTTAGTCCGGCCGGTGGGGAGCATTGTACAATTCGTGTTCTTACGTGCGAATTTTGTCTCGCGCAGTTCGTTGACTAGCCATGGCTGGACCAGGTCCGTTCCTGATATCGGCGCCAGATTTCTAGCTATTGACGGACACTGCGCAGCATATTATGCGGTCACATCCCTGGCCATATTGTGCGACATGCGCAGCTGCTGTGGAAGCGGATGAAAACGGCTTACCACGGTCGTTAGTAAGTACATTCAAGGCGTCGTCCAGCACTGCCAAAACGAATTTTGCAGGACTCGCACATGGCGCAAAACCATCGCTGCTCTCTTTGCCACATGGACTTTGCCGTGCTGTCTGTGGTGAGTCGCCTCGATACTCCACGTGATAGGTCAATCACACCATGTATAGCATTTCAGCCTTACGCATCCCAACCTGTTGTGCAAGCATTGCGAAAAGATGTTCACATCGGTAACGCACCTCAAGGCGCACTACCGGCGTGACCATCCATGCCGCAATGGCCTTATCTGTCACATCGCTGCCCAAAAGGGAATGAAATGCCCGATTGTTAGTGTTCGTCTCCTGCTCCGGACGCGCAGACCTTACGTTCAGTTCTGCAGCATTCGTCCGACGAGGGCGATGACGCCTCATCAGGTGCATCGCCCGTCGTGGACGTTGATACGCAAAGGCCCGAGCCGGATGTCGCGACGTTTCAGGCTGCTACCATGGCCCTAGAGCAGAACAAGTCGTCGGCAGAGCCTGATGAAACGGATAAAGCAGATCCCACTATCAACATCCCCCTTTGCTCGCTCATTCCCTCTGAGTTGGTGACAGAATGCGAAAAGGCGTCCGAACCCGCTACCGCTGAAGACAAGTCACCGCTCCAGAAGCACCAGGTGCCCACACTCTCAGAATCAGCCACTTCCAATGACGCGCTGCCTGAGCATTCCCAAAATCCTTCTACGATCACGCCCAACGATGGGGATGACAGTGCCAAAAGCTGACGTCGCCAAAGCGGAGGACACCTCCAGCGGCAAGCACGCCTCTATGGTGCCTGACGACTGGGAGTGCACTCCGTCTTCGGCAGTCTCGGACTGCTCGGATTCGTGGACCGAGATTGCCAGCGTTTTCAGCGAGGGCGACGCGGTTCAGGTGAATGCTGATGAAGACATTCCTAAGGCAGAGTCTGCGACGGCGGAGGAATTCGCTGTAGCGGCGGTTGAAGACAGTGTCAAGAAAGACGGTACGCTCATTACTCAGCTGAAGTCCCTCTCCACTGAGCATTCTGTACAGTTGACGCCGCGCATGAAGCAGACCTCAATGCAGCCCAAGGGGAGGGCGCAGCGGACGAGGCGTCGACCGGGGAAACTCAGCCCGCGCAGTTGTCTCTCCCACGGATCGCGACTGAAGCACCCACTGAGCCTCAAGCACGCTTGATGATTTTGTCTTGCAAAGTTTGCACAAAGAATCCTACTAATCCGGTGGTCACCATGTGCGGACATGTGTTCTGCCATGGGTAAGTGATAGTTCAAGTGTCACGAGTCACGGCTCACTTTTGCCATCGTAGGTGCATCTTGAACGCTTTGGGGACGAGCCTCTCCTGTCCGGCCTGCAACCGGCCCATCTTAGTTCGGCTGGACCTGTGAAAGCATGTCCGATCTCTGTTTGTGGTTCATGACTCCTGCGACTTGAGGATAATCGTGTACTATCACCTGTGCTGTATCGCTTTTTGAGAAATCATTGCAGCCTCAGCTACAAGCTGTCCTGCGGAAGAGAACTAGGATTATAAATTAGAGTACACATGGGGTATCATCAAGTCATGTTCGTCATATCGACAACTCCTTTGCACACTCCAGCATCGTCTTATTCGGGAAGAGCTCGATGTCAGGCCATCTGCCCTTGATGATCTCCAGAGGGATCTTCGAGAGCACTGGTAGCGGAGTCACATACGACGGTAAGAGGCAGCTAAAGGCAGGGGCAAGGACCCAGTCAAGGGTATCTTCCGCGCGAGAACGCTGATGTTTCCAGTCCTCGGGATAGTCCCTCGACGGGCGGAAGTACGCGGGGCGCAGTATGTGAGCCTTCATGCCTGATTCAGGCGTGCAGAACGCGGCAATGTCCTTCTCGGCGCGACCCTACCACAGTACACAAGTCAGTTCTTCTCGCGCAGGATGGATGCTCATGCGCACCTTGACCCGCGCCCACATCTGCATGCTCTTCTCCGTCGGGTCCGCGGACATGCCGCTGACGTACACGAAGCGGAACGGCTGGCCCTGCGGTCTGTCCGCGCCCACGCCCGCGTCGCGCATGGCGCGCAGCACGGCCATGGGGTACTCGTACGTCAGCCGCGTGTACTCGGCTTCCGTCATGCCCCTGACGGACTTGCCCATCGCCCAAATACACGCGTCGTGCTCGGCGAGACGCTTCGCGAGCTCGGGCGGATACTGGGTGAAGTCGTCGTGCACAATCGTCGAGGTCTTCTCGGCGGCGTTTGACGGGAGGACCGCCCACAATGGCATTTCGCGGCGCATCAGGAGGGTCACTTTGCTTATGGACGGGTCTTGCACCGCGGCGCGATAGATGTTGAGACCGGCTGATGTTGCATATGGCGTTCAGTCGCGGGCAATACGCCAGATGAGAATCTGCACTTACCTACCCCAGTTGCGCCAGTAATGAGTAGCTTCATGTTTTTGCTAGCGGCTTTGAGAGGATGTTAACGTTCTTCCTGGGAGACGCAGCCCTTCCTTTAATACTTGACAGAGTACGCACATACGCGTACTTCCGGCATCTAGCGGCTGTTGTGCACATCTCTGGAACGAGGATCGCGAGGAATGTTGTAATGCCGCGGGACGCGTATGCTAACTGCCGCTATTGACACACCTCTTCCTCCGAGAAACCGGCATAAATCACGACGTCGTTACAGGGATTCTGGATGCAGACTAGAGGAAACTTGCAATGAGTCTAAGGTACAGGAGGTTCACAAGTGCCAGTATGTCAACCGAGTCTCGTGCAGGCATTAGAGAGTGCAGAGGAAAGCGTAGGACATGTCAGAGTTCTGCAGTGTCGAATCGCGCCAGACCGGAAGGGCGCATCGGGCGCCAGTGATGCGCCGTGCGCTCAGAGCCGCCCGTTTCGGCAAATCTTGCTCGAGCCTGAAGATCGCACAGGACAGCAGTCTCAAAGCGCTCTGCAATACTCATAAAATCCTGTCATACAAAGTTAAATAAGATAGTGTTGTGGACAGCACTTTCAGCCCAGCGCATCCTTTCCGACACCAACAGGCGACAACCTAGTTCTTGGGCTTGATGAGCCCGAAGAACTTGCCCCGCCGCAGCTTCGCCTCCTGCTGCATGCGCACCTCGTGCTCCATCTCCTCCTCCGAGATGTGCCCGCCGAGCGAGTACCACGTGACGGTGAGCATGCCGATGACGGCGGTGAGCACGCAGCCGGTCATCGCGACGATGCCCTTGGGGCGCCAGCCGAGGACCTGCTGGAACGGGCCGAGCGTCCAGCCGGACAGGTCGAGGAGGTCGCTCGTGGGGTGGCCCGCGGCGTTCCCGCTCGACGGCATGCCGAGCGCGGCGCACTGCTGGAACATGACGTCCGGGATCGCGTTGCGCTCCTGCGCCTGCAGCGGCGCCTCGATGAGCGTCACCGCGAGCCCGGCCTCGAGGTGCCACTCGATGTGGCAGTGGAAGATCCACGCGCCGGGGTTATCTGCGACGACGCGCAGCACGACGCCCTCGCCCGCCGGCAGCTGGACGGTGTCGCGCCGCATGGGGTTCGTCTGGCTCTCGTTGATCGGCGGGTTGAGCGTCGGGTCGGAGGAGGTGTAGTCGAGCGAACGCTGGACGATCTGGAACTTGTGTCCGTGCAGGTGGCTGAGGAGGATGGTTAGAAGAGAGCCTCAAAGCGGCGAGAACAAGAGAGCTTACAAAGGGTGCTTGCCGGTGTCGCTGTTCTGCAGGAGGATGTCGAAGACCTCAAGGTGGTTCAAAACGAAGGAGAAAGGGCCATACGCCTGGGCGACGGTAGCGTTCGCACCGAGCGACATCTCGGACATGACCGTAGGTACAAGTGGAGAGACGAACGTCTGGCCATTGAACATGGCGCGGTTGGTGCCGTCGTCCATGGTGTCGAAGGAGAGCGTAAGCGGGATGGTCCTAGTCGAAGGGAGCATGGGCTCGACGACGAGCGGGACGAGGGCGATGTCGTCCACGTCACTGTAGGCGTCGATCGTGCCCAGGTCGGTGACGGAGTTGGACGAGTCGTAGGTGACGGACGAGGTGATGTTTGGGTTCAGCGTCAGCGGGACAGTGTCGAACATGTCCGTGTCCATGTTGGCGTGGATCATCCAATTCTGCGAGGTGTCGTTGCGCGCAGTGACCAGGATGGAGTAGCGCTGGGCGACAGTGACGGTGAGCAGGTCGATGGGCGACTCCTCAACGTCAGTACCGTCGGCCTCGATGATGCGCATGTCGTGGCCATCAATCCAGAAGTAGAACATCGCGAATGCCGAAGTATTTACGACGCGAAGACGGTAGGTTTTGCCGGGCTGAAAGTGCAGTCAGAACCGTCGGTGCCAGCAAAAGGGTCACAGCGATATACCTGGAACGGCAGAGTTGCGTTATCGTTGAAACCAACAGCAGCCGTGACAGAGTCGGGGTGCGTGCCAGAAATAGGGCCAAGATATGTCGCGTTCTGGGCGAAATAGATAAGCGCAGAGTTCGGCACTGGCTCAGCGCCACCAGGATTCGCGATGCTGATAAACTGCTTCAAGAGAACTGCGTGCTCATCGTGGTACCAGTCTCCGAGGACGACGGTAAACTCCTCATCATACTGGTACTTCTCCTGTGGTGGGTGGATAACCACCGGCGCGCGCAAACCATCGACATATTGGCCCTACGAGAAACAAGTTAACGCGCGAAGGATGTAGTAGAATGACCTCTGCTTACTCCTGCGTGTGAGTGTACCCAGTATGTACCCCATTGGCCATTGCTCGAGATTGGGACGGTGTAGTCAAAGCTCTGGCCGGGCGGGACACCACTAGAGTTTGCTGGCGCATGAGACAGTCGTGGAACGTATAAGGAAAGAAGACACGTACCACTGAGAAATGGCGAGCGCGCCATCCATCCACGACGTCGAGTTGAAAAACATGCCGTGGTGGTGAAGGGTCATGGGCTGGTCGAGAGAGTTGTACGCATGGACGAGCAGGTCGTCCGTCGATTGTATATCAACTGCCGGCGGCCTGGACATGGTGAGCTCTTTGTATTCAAGCATAGAGAGGTCTGCTTACGGCCATGTACCGTTGATACCGATAACCCGGCGCGGTTGAAGGCCGTCCGGGTTGGCGTTGAGGACGTAGGTGATGTTCCACCATACCTCCTGCACCCCTGCAAGCACGGGGGAGATGGCTGCAAGCAGGGCGAGCGCAGACCGCATGTTCTCGTGTCGTGCAAACCTGAAAAGCTCTGCGTGACTGGTGGGGACCAGGTCTTGCACGGAAGGGACAAGGGCTCGGTCGCGAGCGGAGAGGAGGTGGGAGAGGGGAGACCGAGAGGTGGGGAGATTAGATGAGCGTCATGGCGGTCTAAATAACATGTAGGTGATGAATTACTATTCGCATTTCGTCGGAAGAATGCGACCTGAAAAGCACCAGCCGGAGGGAGAAAGATGGAGGCGACGTTGGATCGGCCGTGGAATTTTTTATCTGATAAGACACATGCTCTGGATCTTATCAGAACCTTCGGTGCCGCGCATGCCGCGACCCCTAAACTCTGTAATCTGATAATTCACCCGGCGTTGTGCGCGTGCTAGTAACTTCATTCGAAGAGTAAACAGTGCGCTCAAGAGAAGGACAAGGCCTCGTGCGACCCGAAAGCACGGACGGTTCCCATGGCATGGAGGTACGCAGGCGGCCCCTCGCAGGGCCGCATCTCACATCGCTTGCAAATCTCACCATCCCTGTCGTCCCACAAGAGAGCCTCGAGAGGCACTTCACGCCGCGAAAAGAGGCAACTTGGCTTGGTGCTGGCCTCTGAGTGGTATCGTTAAGTTAGAGGAGATGAGAAAGGAGGAAGGCTTGAATAATCAGATAAGATGAACCCTGAGACCGCCCGCCTTATCAGCTGAGCGATAAGATCAACCCTCGGAAAAATTATCAGATTAGGGCCGAGTCCGAGGCACATACAGTTCTCCCCCTCACAAGTTGTCCTATATCTAAAATGTCCCTGTTCGCCCGGTGCTCCTCCGACCCGCTTCGTCCTCCCTCCTGATCCCACGAGCGAGCGGTCTCCCCCAGTGTCCGTCCGCCAACGCTAGCCGCGAAAAAATGGGCAAGAACGTGTTCTCCGTCCCCATTTTCTTCATCGTCTTCCGTGAGACCCTCGAGGCCGCCATCATCGTCTCGGTCCTCTGCAGTCTTGTCGAGCAGATTGCGACAGACGAAAGACCGTTGTCGGACACGACCGCCGGCTCCGGCGCTGTCCAGGACAAGCCCGAAGGCGACTCACCTACCACCGACGCGCTCGCCGCCCAACCAGAGCTCGAGAGTCCCGAAGATGCAACCATTCGCCAGCGCCGCTTCATCCGCCGCATGCGGTGGCAGATTTTCCTTGGTTCTTTCCTCGGTCTCTTCATTGCCCTCGCCGTCGGTGCTGCTTTCATCGCAGTCTGGTTTACCAAGGCCAGCGATCTCTGGTCCAAATCCGAGGAGCTGTGGGAGGGTGCGATTTGTTCACACGAATGCTTGTTACTCAATCACTCACCCATGCCGCGCTCTCAGGTATCTTCGAGCTCATCGCGTGTATTATGATCTTCGTCATGGGAGTCACCATGCTCAAGATGGACCGTGCCAAGGCTAAATGGCGCGTCAAGCTTCAGCGTGCGTTCGACGGAAAAAGTGAGTGTTTTTGACGCGGCCATGCTATCGGGCCAGTCCTCCACGAGTCATTGGTCGTGAACGACGCCTTTCGAGGACACTTGCCTTTCTGGGCGTGTCTCCGACAGGGCAATTCTTCTTCTACGCTTGCTTGTTTGCGTTCACCCCACGCGACACAAATGCTGAATTTCCTTCTTTTTCAGAGGTTGACCGGGAAGCAAAGAGTGGCAAGTGGGTGCTCTTCATCCTTCCCCTCATCACCGTCCTCCGCGAAGGTATGTCACAATCTTTGGCGTCGATCCCTGAACAGCCCTAACCGCAGTCACAGGTATGGAAGCCGTCATCTTCGTCGGCGGTGTCTCGCTCGGTCAGCCTGCGGCGTCTATCCCCATTGCCGCCATCGTCGGCCTCGTCTGCGGCCTCATCTGCGGCTTCCTCATCTACTCGTTCGCGAGCCGCACGACACTCACCGCCTTTCTCATCCTCATGACGAACTTCATCCTGCTCATCGGCGCAGGCCTCTTTAGCCGCGCGATCGGCTCGTTCCAGGAGCAGGCCTTCAACACGCTCGTCGGCAGCGACGTCGACGACGTGGGCGCGGCGGGCAACGGCCCAGGCTCGTACGACGTGCGCGGGAACGTGTGGCACCTCGACTGCTGCAACCCCGAGAACAACACAGACTCGCAGGGCTGGTCGATCTTCAACGCGATCTTCGGCTGGACGAACAACGCGACGATCGGCTCCGTGCTCGGCTACGTCTTCTACTGGCTCGCGGCCATGGTCGTGCTCGCGTACTTGAAGTACAAGGAGGGCCGCACCAAGATCTTCGGCTTCGAGTCCGCCGCTGGCGTGCGCCGTCGCGAGCGCGCGGCCCTCCACCGTGGAGACTCGGAGATGAGCGCGGCGTCGGCGTCGGACGAGAAGGTGCAGGATTCGGAGAAGGCTTGAAAGTCTGTTTTATCACCCGCTACGACACCCTATGATCAGCGCATGCTCAGCAAGACCTCTTGTATTTTCCTTCGCTCGCTTTGCTGTTCAGAATAAAAACTGTTTGAATCGTTCGCTTTCCCTTCTGCTCAGACTCACGACGGTCTCCTGAAATGTTTAATTGACCATAAGCTCAAGGGTCGGGCATCTACGTGAACCCGCGCCGCCGGTGGGAACACGAAGTTTGAGAAGCTCGATTTTGACGTTAGGCCCTGCTACGCTCTCGTTCCGCTATCTCCAGCACATATGCTTGCTCTAATTTTACCATGCGTCGTGGCACCTGCTTCGCATTGCAGAATGGCACCCTCGACCGTGCGCACAGGGGCCGTGCGACTACCCCCTATACATCCTCCAGCTAATCGAGCTTTACAGAGTACGGTTGGGCTATCTGATAAGACAATGGGAGACGTTTGCGAGAGTGAAACATTGTTGGTGTCAGTGTATTGTGCCAAAAGCTCGGTCCCGCAGGGGCTCTCTTATTTCAACAGGCTAATCTGCGCCTGGACTCGCGGAGGTTTCTCTGGCTGGTAGCGGCCGGCCCGCTGTGGGGTGAGATATCTGATAAGATAGCAAGTGAACGGAGCACATGCCCTGCGGGCGTACTGATGAGATGCGTGTGGACACCGTTGCAGAGACAGAGGCACCATCGGCATGTCGATGGCCAGGCACTCAGGGACCGGCTGCGAACATTGCACGGCTGTTGAAATGCCAATCCGCCGAGGCCCGACATTCTGCGAAGCAGCCAAGATCAAAGTAGTCGGAAGTACGTATCTGAAAGTCCATTGAACGGCACCATAACTTATAAATGTATAACGCGAACGAAGACCACGAATGTGACCCTCGGACGATAGCCGAGCTCCCACCGTTAAAGCCGGCCTCAGCATTCGACGTGCAACCTGACGAGCATCGCCTTCCTGCACACAGGGCACTGGAGGTTCTTCGCGAGCTCCTGCACAATGCACCTGTCACAGCATGCTTCGTCAGCTGATTCACCGGTAGAATACGGGCAGCACGACATACCCGTGGCAGAAGAGATGGCCACACATGGTCACGGTGGGGTCGTGCGGCTCTTTCAGACAGAGCCGGCAGTGCCATGCGAGCGGGTGCGGCGGCTGAGGCGTTGACACAGGTTTGTGCGGCACGTCCGCGTGGTCCTCGACTTGAGGAGCCAGAGGGACGGGCGGGGGTGTCCGTGCGCTGCCGCTGTTCATTGTCCTGCTGCTGCTCTGCTCCGACGCTTCTGAAAAGGATGTATCAGCGTAAGTAACTTTTGCAGTGGTAAAGCCCCAAGAGCCCAGACAGGGATGTGCGTACCTTGAGAATGTGGAGAAGAGGTTGGGCTCGACCGCGCTCGCGAGCTGGTGCGAGAGGCACGAGAAGCGTTGTTCGGGATGTCGCACGCGGCCTCGTCTGCACGTGGGCTGTACTCCGAATGTCCGGCCCAGAAGGTGCCCCTAGCGTACAAGGACCTTTGGCTTGCTTGCGAAGGGGATCGCAAGACAGGCGAGCCCAATGGAAGCACAGTGGGCTGAGCAGCGCGAGAAGTGGACCTCACTGACGTGTCCGCCCTGACATTCGTGCTAGTAGTGGAAAGCAACGATTGTCTTGACGTCGTCGAACGTAGTGGAGGCAAGGCAGTCACAAAGGTTTGGGCTGTCCTCGCGAAATAGGGACTTTCGTGAGATGCCACAGAGCTAGGGCTGAGAGGTGGAGGGGAGAAACGAGTCGGGGAACGAGTCGGGGAACGAGTCGGGGAACGATAACCTTCTGACTCGTAGCGCGGGCTACACGGCGAGACAAGCGAGCTTGGGCTCAGTAAACGTTCAGGTGTCGACGGTTGGCTAAGACCTTCGCATTAGCAGAGCAATAATGGTTCTCTGTCACATGGACTGACCTGTCGTATGAGATTGTTTGAAGCGTGCGTGCTGGGCTTATGATAATCTCTTCTGATGGTGTGACGTAGACCGATCCAGCGCCTTTCTCGTAGTCGGTTTCTTGGCTGTCCTCAGATGGATGTTCAAATAAGGATTCGTGAGGATCGAGGTCTACGGTCGGCATGGTAGGCGTTGGCTCAGACGAGGCACGGCGTCCTACCGACGAGGTCTTGAAGTCCTTCGTCTGGTGACAATATTTAGTTCTGGTAAATTAACGTGACGCGAACCAGACGCACAGAGACCCTTGAGTAACCGAGGGCGGTCTGAGTGCGGGACGACCCTGGAGAGTGTGATGTATTTTCCGTGTCGATATTCACCGAGAAGAAGGCATCTCGAGGGGTCGACAAGACAGTCTCCGTCAGAGGTGGAGAGTGGGCGGGACTCCCATCAGTCCGCTGGGTCGAAGCCCGGCTACGAGGAATGGGATGTTCCTCAGCCATATGCTATGCGAGCGGTCAGTCACATAGCACTCGACATTAAAGACTACAAGCGCACCGTCGAAAACGCCTGCTCGTTCAGAAACCCTTTGAAGCAAGTCATGCACTTCGGATGAGCAGGAGAGTCCTGGTAATGGCGAAGCAGGTCCTCGATTCGACGATACGTTCTATCGCACTTTGTGCACATGATCTCGCTCGACTCGTCTTGGATTGTCTGGAGACACATGTCATGAAAGCCGACAATTATGTCGGTTGATGAGATGCTCACCGCTGGTGTGGGTGGCGGCGGGGTAGGAGGCCGAGGCGGATGCCTCATGGCCATGTGCTGTGTACACCGTTATCAAGGTAATCCACAGCGTCCGAGAATACACTAACCTCCTCGAGAATCGCCTGGTTCTCAAAACCTTCGCCACACGTCGTGCACGTGGGGTGTACTGCGGATTCAGCCTCGAGGAAGTGTTCTAATAGTTGCCCTGACGATGCAAAACCAACACGACAAGCCCCGCACCACAATTCCGGGTGCATACTCTGAATATGCTAATGAATATACTGGTTAGGGCGCTGATTGTGATTTCATTCGCAAGTCTACGTACTGTGGTAAACGTTGATACATCCTCGAACCCGACAACGCAGACAAGGCAAGTCGGATGTTCGGATGACTCTTTCCAGTGTTCTTCGAGCTGAGGCTGGTTGTGAAAGTCGAGATTGCAGAGGTTACATGGGAAAGCCGGTTCTGGATGGACGGTGGCGAGGTGCTGCCAACGAGCACGCCATCAGATCAACGCCAGTAGGCAACTCATGTAGAGATCACAAACCGCTGTAAGAGCAGCCCTATCGGGGAAGCCTGTGTCGCAGTGAGGGCAGGACGGATGAGTGGAGTCCGTGCGATAGTGTTGCTGAAGAGAGTCTTGTGAGAGGTAGTACCGATTGCACTGTCGACAAAGCAAGTCTTGATGATTCTTCGAGAGATGCTACAACAACGCGGCCGTCATCTGAGAGCGAGTAGCAAATCGGAGCAATTTCATCACTCACACCGCTCCTGGCGAACGCTGAAGGAAAATTAGCGTTGCAAATCGTGCACTTGTACGTAAAGTGCGCCTTGCTGGTCCTGACATGCTGATCGTACGCCGCTTGTGTGGTGAAGAATCGACCGTTGCAAACGGTGCAAATAACCATGTCTACAAAAATGAAGAATGGGGTGACGGGTCAAGACGGCAGCGGCATGGTTTATATGCATCCCGCAAGGCGACTTCGCGTGAATGCCTTGCGACTACCTCGCCGTACCCGGACACGAGGCTCAAGGCTCATTTTTGCGAACCTGCTTCGTGAAACCAACGTGTGATCCGCCAGGTTTATCTCATGTCAGGTGAACACGAGAACCACGACCTGTTGGCCTGAGTTATAAATGAGAGTAGACATTCGCTGCCTGAAACCAAGCCTACGAAATTCTTGACATGTGTCATATACGCACATGAGCGAACGGGTTATTCACAGCTCTAAAAAGCTAGGCCGAGCCAAGAACATTATGTACACTAAGCAGCCTCATGCATGACTGCTGGTGCGTAGCCTGCATGTGTCTACAGGTTTCTATGCGCCCCTTATTGCAAAGAAAGGACGTACCGTCGTAGCATTAAACCATGCCTAGCGGTGTCCAGGCAACCCATTGTGATAACAGCAAACTCTTCAGTGATTGAGACCTAGGAGCGTCGCCTAATAATTTTGCTTCGCAGTTTGAGACATGCTCAGGCAAAGCCTATGTGGCGGTTGCAGGAATAGGGGTAGAGCTACCGCTTTGCAGGGGTTCTCGACCCTATAATCTGTGAATATCGCGTCCAGCAGATGGCCAGGAGTGGTTACAGACGTAGTGGTTCGAAAGGAGTAAACTGCCTTGCCCGTTGGCAATTCTGATGGCGGTGATGCCATCACCAGCTTCGTGGTCTGAGGATAGGCTGACAGTTGCGCAGCCGACACCCGTCCATTTACTTCGCATGGGAAGCCCACGAGCAAGCAGTAGGTCGTAATTCTCTCGCCAACACAGCATATTGAGCCATGAGGGCACCCAGTGAACACTCACAATTGGGTAACAAGATCCGAAGAGATGTGAATAGATCGTCAGAAAGCCAGCAACGAAAGCGTGCGTCAAAGCATCGTTATGCATGTAAGTAAGACTGCAGATCAGAGCCATACAATGACGGGCAAGCCCATGCCAAGGTAGTACACGCCGGGCGTGATTTTCCCGTATAAACCCTAGCAACGACCAAGGGATATCAAACTCGATGGCGCATTTAGAAGGTCGAGGGGCGGTGCGCAACAAAGGTCGAGCGAACCTTAGCGACGCGGTGGGGGAGAGGGAACTTGAGGTTCGGGACGAGGAGCTGCCTAATGTAGGGGCGGCGAATATCGTCGGTCTTTTCAATCTCCACAACACGGAGGATCTGTGGTTCGAAAAGGTATAAGAGGCCGCATTTTGTGGTAAAAATGGTATGCACGCACATGGATAGACCGGAAGCGGGCACGGTGGCGGGCGGCCATGTCCTGGTAGAGGGCTTTGACGGCATCCGCACGGCTGAGCTCACGGAACTCCTTGTACATGTTGTGTGTGCCGGAGCGAGAGTCATAGCGAAGCCAGATACCAAAGTTCTTGACTTTCAATGGTTTCTTCTCGTGGATCTAGATCATTTCAACGCCGCGCAAAAAGAGACGCAGAACGTTGTAGTCAGCCTCCCATTCCGCCTGCCACTTGAACGGCTGCAAGGGACAACAACATGAATATGATACACACAACGTTGACTCCAATAATCTCGCCAGAAGCCTTCTTGACCTTCTTCAGTTGTCTGGAGCTCGCTTAGCATGCCACTCTAATCAAAATACATCTTGACACGCACCGCAGGAAGTACCAGAATCGCGACTTCGCGACGACTTCGTTGGGCGCGAAGATACGCATGCGGTAGATTTTAGGGTTGGGATCAGTCTCGGTGGGGAGGTGACGACCAACAACTTGGTATTCTTGGAGAGGCATCTGGATGGCGCAGATGAGTAAACGGTGCATCCAAAGCGACAAAGTCCCATCCAGCCCATTTTGCTCGTGACTTCGCTCGTTTGGCTGCCTGAATGGGACCTTATGTACACCAGCAGCATAACGATACTCACTTCTGAGAATCTTACCCTTGAAGTTGGCGATGTTGACGACTGCGAGGCCTGTTGCTTAGAGCCTGACCGGGATTGTGGGAAATTAAGTTTAGCGCCTGTAAGCGTATCGGTGATCCCACAAGCGCCTGAATATGAATTCTCATCGAGCCTCACAGGCCTCACCTCTCGCTTTACTCTCGCATATGCGTATCTTTGTGTCTCATAAACACCAATTGCTTAACGTTTAGCATTAAATATTCAGCTATCAATATTCATTATCTACGCATATACTCCAAGACCGTGCCATCACCACCTGACGCCAACTACAGATGCGCACCTAGCTCTTGGTCGCTCAGTTTCGACTTTGTACAATCTACTTACCATGATCTACAAATATTGCAGATCGCGCCTTCGGGGCCGTTATTTACCTATGGAATTACGCATTTTCAAAGATCACATGTTATCGCAGCTTCGTCTTAGCCGCAAGCTTCAAGTTCTGGCTTCCGGCCACCTCGCCGGTACAACACTGACGATTGAGTCACAGCCGCTACCTGTGTAAAGATGGTGTGGTAATCGTCTTACTATCGTTCAGGAAGACTTACTGCAAGCGTTTGCTGTGCATACACAGCTGTTGTCTTCCAAAAGCGTATGTGGGTCCGCCTCCATTCTCTTCGGTGCCTTCACAACAAATTCGCACGGTTTGGCTGTGGGTCCACCTGGTTGACAGACAATCGACGTCGACTGCTTGCCCTTTCGCCGCCATATATGACTACCCAACTAGAGGCACGATGTCCCATCTCCGCTCTCCCCGCCGAGCAGAGCCCCTCGGCATCATCACTTCTGGCTCTCGGAATAACTTTCCGTGCATCTGGCCATATAAAATGTCCGCCACTGTCCCTTCTACCACACCTCGCACCGTCTTCGGCACTTGGATTTCGTGTCCCGCTAACCAAAACCTCGACCTCGAAGCCCAGGTCGTCATCGGCACGTACGAACCAGGTCCTTTTGTCACTGTCGCTTCGCACGCCCAGCCTACAGATGTTAAAGTCGCCGATCCTTTCGATGACTTCTTCGGAATCGCTCGCACGTCGCATGGCATTCAGGATGGCCGTCACGACACACGCTACGCGTCTTACCAAGATGACCTCCCGCCTCCACCATATGTCGAAGAAGTAGACTTACACACGTACAATTCTGTCGCGGAGCCTCCAACCCTCGCGATGTACCTTTTCAAGTTCGGGTTCTGTACGTCTTACCTTAACTTCTACGAAAGCTCGATTTTAATTACCTACCCTTGCAGTATTTCCGCTCTCCTGGCTTACAGGCATTGTTATTCTACTGTGCCCATTAACGCCTCCCGAGCATTGGGAGCCCACCAAAACGGAAGCAGGGAGGAAGGAGCTGTTAGGCCTTCTGCGTCGCACCGAGATCAAATGGGCGAAGCGTTGCCTCATCGCCTTCTCCGTGCTCGCACTGGTCATCGTCGCTCTCGTCGTCGTCATCGGCGGTATTCGATTTTGTCCATCATAGCGACTGCTACTGCGCCTTCCTATGCAAATTACTTCACGAGCCGCGTCCTGCCCATCTCATCGTGTATTTGACATTCACTTCCATGAACTTGCCCATTCTTGCCACGTCTAAGCCAATTCTTGTCGCTCACCCTAGCTTCCCATTGCATGTAAATTATCAGTAGAGTTCTTTGTACTTGTATGCCCACGTATTGTAGTTTTCAAGCTGTAAAACGGCCTCACGTGGGTGCCAATATTAATGAAGCCGCGCAATTTCTGAAGCGCTCGCTATGTCTCTGAGTCTCGTTCGAACCGCAGCGTTCGGCTCTCGCGGCCTACGCCTCCGACTGCAGGCTCTGTACCAACCATGCCGCCTTCCACTCCTGGCTGACGCACCATGCGTGCGCACATTCGCGTCGAAGAAGAAGAAGAGCCTCGACGACGAGCCACACGGCAAGGGCGTGTCGACCGACAACCTCGTGCCAGGCTCGCAGCAGATCCTCGCCGGCGAGGTATACTTTAAGGCCGAAGAAGCGATGAAGGGCGTCGTCGACCGTTTTCGCAAGGAGGTCGCGGACATGGAGGCGCGTGCTACGGGTCGTGTCACGCCTGCGATGCTCGGTCCCGTACGGGTACATGTCGCGGGCGGAAACAGCGCCGTACGGCTCGAGGAGATTGCAACAGTCGGTGTGCGGGAGGGCACGACGCTCGTGGTTACTGTGTTCGAGGATCATGTATGTGATGTTTCGCGGTGCGAGCTACTTCTGCACTTACGAGACTGGACAGACCCTCAAAGCCGTCGAGACAGCGATATATGAAGCCAAGCTGCCGGGGGTCATACCACAGAGGATGGACTCACGCACAATCAAAATACCAATACCAAAGTTCGTCCGATCTTTCATACTCTGCCCATAGCACGTTTTCACGCTTTCTTGCAAGACCTACGGTGGACGCACGCCACGCACTGTTCAAGACCGCCCAACGCGACGCGGAGGACGCTCGCGTGCATATCCGCAAGCACCACCAGGGTGCCACGAAGAAGGGTGCCTTCAGGAAGCATTCACAGCAGATGGATGAAGTATGTTGTCTTTTCACAGGGCTCTGGCCTCATCACTGACTTGCGGCATAGCTCCAGGAGTTGTGCGATAAGTATGTCAAGGAGGTCGATGCAGTCCTCGCCGAGATGAAAAAGAGTACCGGTGCGAAATAGACCCCACATAAGACGTTGCCCTTGGACCCACTGCGTTCATATCTGGTTATGCCTGATGTATAATAATTACTAGAGGGTATAGATACAGCTGATGGTCCATGGATGCTACTCTAATAGTTCATCCAAACCGTGTATTCAACCCGTCATAAATGAGAAAGATCAACGCACTGCTGGGCACAGCCCTTGCAACAGTGATACCACACCCCGCGTACAGACCGCGCAAACCCTGCGCCTTGTACATCGCACGGAACGTCGCGAGGAAGCTCGGGTACGGCTCGCCTGGAGCACGCGGACGAAGCTCCGCCTCGGTCTGCACTGCGCTCTTGACCGTGTCGGCTGGGAAGAGCGCAAAGTTGTACGTGACGCCGGCACACGCGCCCGAGAGCGCGCTCTCCCATGCGGCGAGGCCGCGGCGCGTGCCGTCCGGGTTCGTCGGGCGCCGCGCAAGCAGCAGACGAGCGACGGCCTCCTTCGAGCAGAACCACGCGACGCCGCCGCCCGTCTCGCGGATGAGCGTGCCGGTCTGGCCGAGCCACATTCCCCTGAGGCCGCCGTCGCGCACGACGTTCCTAAGCACCGCGAGCGGCCCAGGCAGGTTCTTGAGCGCGAGATCCGCGGGCGGGAGCACCGCTGCGGCTGTGCCGGCCACATTGACCGCTGTCGCGACGCTCACTGGCGGGGGCAGGAGCATCTGCACTTGCATTTTGCATTTGACTAGTTCTATGGGTGTCCTGGAACGTCTGTGTGAGTCGTGGAATGTGGGAACAGCGTGCGTGACACGCACAGGAAGAAGCTCGTGATCGCGCCTGCGCCTGCAGCAGCCAGAGCGAGCTCTCCGAGGGAGAGGTCCTGGTGCAGAGGTTTCTCCGAGGACCACCGAATCGCGTTCTGCAGTTCATTGTACGCCAGGAAGAGTGAAGCATTCTCAGCCATCGCTCCAACGATGGGTGCAGGCAAACCCTACGCCGTCCATTAAGACTAATCAGAGGTCACACACAAGTGAGAATACGTACCCTGTATAGCCCACGAACGCCCTCCTTCTTCCAAGTCTGCATGAGACAGTCTAGAGGCCCGCTGAAGCGTGCCTCGGAGTCGAGCACCTGCGACTGCAGGCGCACCTTCGTGAGGTCGAACGGGTGCTCAAAGACTTTTGAGGTCATGCCCGCAATCTACCAAGGGCAAACAAGCGGACTCTCCGTGAGCTTTTCTCGTGCCTCTGTACTGACAAATGTGGGGCCTGACACTACCAAAGGCGATGTCCTTGACAGCGCGTACAGCGACCGAGGAGCCCTGCACATGCAGCGCGTCTGGTGGGGCCTCCATTTTTTTCCCCTTGCAGCAAAGCCGGAAGTGGTGAGGAGGAAAAGAGAGAGAGCAAGTAGGAGAGGGAAAGAGAGAAGTACAAGAGCCGACCGGCGCCCGCTAGCACATGTTCGTAGAGGATGGCAGGCGGACTCTGTGAGTGGTGGACGTGACCGAGCGAGACAAGAAGCGGCGCCGAATCGCAAAAAAAAAAAAAAGTGACTGCCCCGCGCGATCGGAACTTTGCTAATGTGTGCGCGGCCGCGCACAGGCGCTGCGCATGTGAGGACCCTTCCGCTTCTTGTGGCGGCGGACTGACGAATGGCGTTTTGCGCGGGTGTTCGCTGAACGGGTGATATAGGTGTCCGGGAGGTACATGCGTGGTATGCAGACGTCTACAGAATGTCCGAAGGGCCATAATGAAGCAATAAGAGCTACAACGAGCGGGAAGGGAAGGGATCATCAAAATCCGTAACTGTCATGGAAAACCCGATATTTATCGCATCAAACTAAAAGCCCGGCGGAGAGACATGACATAGCGAAGTAAAACACCCAATACAAAACAACACTGCGAGCTGCTGCAGAGGTGTTGTTGAGCGTCGTGGAACCATTTTTTCCGTCAGAGCTTGCCGTAGGGTTTGGCGTGGTGGAAGCGGAAGCGATCGTGCGCGATCCAGAGACCGTCGTAGTCGGCTGCGCAGAGCTGCCTCCGCCCGCGACAGTGGTGGTATACGTGCGCACATATCTGACCTCGAAGTAGGCGTTGTCGTACTTTGGACTACCCGGCCCAACCACGTTGTCCATATAGCAGTCGCCGGTCGGGCCCATAGAGCCGCACTGGGGACCGTAGATTGCAGGCACACCGGCCCTAAAAGGCGTGTTTGTCAAACTGCCACGAGTAGGAGCGCCAGGGCGTACCAGTCTCCGCAGAGCGTGATATCGATAACGAGCTGCTGCGATGTGAAGAACTCCGTCAGGTTGCATTGTGGATTCACAGGATACGACGCCGAGGGCGTGCCAAAGTCAGAGATGTCGATCGATGACGTCGAAGTCGACTGTGAGATGGACGCTGGGATATTCGCCCTCTAAAGGAAGGGTCAGCTGCCGTTCGTGTGAGCGGGGGTCGTGCCTTACGCTCCAGAACCAGATACTGCAATAGGTGAGCGGAGCTCTCAAACCATGGGAAACTGAGACTTACTATATACCGGTCACATCGAACTGTGTCGCCCAAACACCGCCACCAGCGGCTGCAAAGCCGCTTTCATAGCTGTTCGGCTGATTCTCGACCACCACGCACCCCGAGCCGGTGCCACAGTCGAGACCAGCGTTACGCCCAGTTTGCGCTGCAGAACCGTCTTTCAAGCAGCCTGCAGTGGTGTGCAACGCCATTTGGTTGTTCGGGTTCAAGTTGATGCTCTCGATGATGTCTATTTCGCCATCGTTCGGCCAGAGAGGGCCCTTCGACCAGAATGCAGGCCAGACAGAGCACCCGTAGGGAATGTGTAGCGCATCGATGATCCAGAGACTGCCATAGTCGTAAAGGTCATGAGTCGTGATACGGACCTGTGACGAGTCAAATTAATAATATCAGGAAGCCTGGCTCGCAGTGCTCACTGAGTTGCGCTTGTCGTTCTGCGTCACGTTTGTCGTGTTATCAACTTTGATGATAGCATTCCCGGCAGAGTTGATGTACGCCAAATTCTGTGCCGTGGCTGCCGACTGGTTCAGCCACCAAACATCGCCTGTGGGAGCTCAGGATCTGCGAGAAGGCCACGAACATGCCACGAACCAAGTGTGAGATTGTCCCAGTAACCATAGAAGTCCCAACCATTGAAGAAGTTCTGTCCGGAGTAGTCACGAAGGACGTCGAACGCGAGAGTGGGGCAAGAATAGCACAGAAGCAGCGTGAAGCCCCCCAGGTAGCGCATTCTGCTGGGTATACGGAGGGTATGGGTCGTGAAGCCTCGTGAGGCGCGTGAGGCGCAAGCCTTAAGTATGCTCTAGTCGTTCAAGTTGTTTGCCAGGTCTTAGGGCAGAGTACGCCGGCGGGGGAGGGCACATATAGGAATACCGCAAAAACTGCGGCCAGCCTTGTGCTTCGCGTGAACCTGGAGTGGGCTCAGGCCCTAGTAGACGCGTGGAGAAGCCAGCCGTATCACAACGTGACATGCAGCGCCGACAGACAAGTCTCCGAAAAGCAAATCACAGATGGAGGACTGACTCCTGTCAAACTTTCTTGCTCCGGGGAAGAAAACGCTGTATAAGCCGAGAGGGAGCAGTACGAGAAAGCCTATCGTGGCCGGGGGAACACCAAGAGGCTCCCGAGCGCGCTCCGATGGCGCGACAGTATCTTCAGCCTATCTTCCAGCCGTTCAACTCGCGAAGCAAGTCAAGTCAGGGTACCGCACGGCTAGGGGCGTCGGGGAAGCCAGCAGGCGGAACAATGAGGGTACCGGGTCATCTTCCGAGGGTGAGAACGATCAGCAGTCCCGAGTGCGAGATTTCTGGCAGGCTGCGGGTTCGCAGCGTAGTACAAGTCACAAGACAGGTGTTCATGCGTAGCGTCGTGCGAGAAGCTCAAGGAACACATGGTGAGGAGATGAAGTGGGGGATGAGAAGGTGTGAGCTTAATCAGGAAGGCCATCACCTTGTGGCGTCACAGTAGCGGCGGCTGCCGACGGCTCGCCCTCCGTCATCTCTCTTTCTCCTAACAGAGCGTCGAAGACCATATTCCTCCAGCTCATACTGAGACACGTCTTCCAGCCTTAAAGACCTCAGAAAATGTAATATAAGATGATACTTGCAGACAGAAGCTTATCTCACGTGCTACTAGCGCTCATCTGCTCGGTACTCTAAAGTACAGTTGAATTGCCCGTCAGCTTTTCAATATATTACATACGACTCATTGTCCCGGAATCTCTGCGATGCATTCGATCTCAACGTCAGCGCCCAGAGGAAGGGCCATCACCCCAATGCATGTCTGTGCAGGTGAAGGCGTGACTTAGCTCGGGAACTTGAAGGAGTTAGCCATCCTCATTACACGACTTACCCGGGCTGGCATGGCGTTCGGATCGAAGAACTGCGAGGCCGAAGTTGACACTCCTAGCTTTCCAAAAGAATATTACCAACACATAATGCATACCTGCGCGTAGACCTCATTCATAGGCCCGAAGTTGGCCATATCAGCCAAGTAGATATTCGCCTTTACGATATGCTCCAGGCCCGAACCTGCAGCCTTGAGCACCTTGGCCATGTTCTCCAAAGCCGCACGCTACAGAGAGCATCAGCACTCTGCATAGCCACCGTTCATGTCTTCGTGACATACAGTCTGTGCCTGCACCCCGCCCTCGACCAGGGTCTTCAGGTCGCGGTTGCACCCAATGTTACCAGACACGTACACCATGCCCTTCGATATTGTCGCCTGCGAGAAAACAGGGAACACGGGCAGGGCGTCCGAGGTGTGTACGAATTGTGGCATACACAGCTGCACGGATGAGACTGTGGTGACAGTATCTGGGAGATATTGAACATCACGCGGGCGCGATTTCGGTCATTCGAGAATCTGATCGTTGAGCGTTGGTTTTCGTCTGACCATGTCATACAAGTCTCAAGATACTCCGCATCCGAGAATCTGACCATATTCTCAAAACCCAAGAATCGTGAGTCCGCCCGTCAGAAATTCTGCGCCTAAGACTTGTGCAAATGAGTTTTTGTGCTCGCAGCACTGAACTGTGGGGAACTAGGCATGTCACTTCAGAGGCTCTTCACCACGACGCGAGCACATGTGTACGCGAGCTTGACAGCCGTGTCGATTTCAACCTACGTCCATGCCCGCCAGTATCCTGAGTGTATCGAACGCGTCTTTATGTCGAAACCGCGCAAATCCACCCTTGCCTCCTTCATCGCCCCCCGAGTATGATCGGCCCACCAATCGTGTTTCGGTTCTGCCTCTACGCAACACCTTTGGCACATCATACACCTTGTTGAGCTTGCCGAATGCATCATGCCCATGTCAACCGCTCCGCCCGCATATACCGGCCGGCCTTGCTGAACTGCCCGGGGCTGATCAGGCTGCGGCTGACGACCAACTAGAGATGAACCCTCTAGGGTCTATTCATGACCTCAGCTACCTAGCAATCCGCTCGACCAGGTATTTGACAACTAAGCTGGGCTGACTGGCGCAGCCAAGTTCACATTCTTCTGAGTGATCACTACCCGCGCAAGCAGAGATGCTCCTTGCACCCCCAGCGCCCTCAGATAGCTCTAGTACCAGAGCAGAACCTGATTTGGAGATGCAGTGGTCTCCTCTGAGGATGACCACGATACTGGGCAGCATACCCGTCTTGTGGGGGCAAAGGTCACCAATGAGCTTGATGATTGACCGTTCTCCATCCC